TAGACTCTGAATTTTAAATTAGGGAAATTGGATCGAAAAATATAGTTGGGAAAATATGTAGGTCATTGTAACAAGTATTTATTTTAATTCTGCAATTAATATGATGAACATAGATAAAAAAACATTAAAGCCGCACTCAAAGTTCAAACCGATATTTCCTATTAATATTAAAATTAATGGCAAATTTACTCGTAATTCATTCAAATTTGAAAATGTATGCTTTCGCGGTCAAATACCTATGACGTCACATTATAGTACCAGACGTAAAATATTTACGCTCTTGTAGATTCTTTTATGTGTGAAGAAAAGTGATAGTTTTCTATTTAGTGGAAATATTTTGATTCACGAACGATTTTATTCTGCCCTACCTTACACTACTATACAAGAATACTATTTTGCATACATGGAACATTCCAGTACTTAAAACTATTTAAAGATCTCAAAATTGAGAGTATCTATAGATATCGATGTTAATTATTGACAGAATATAATTTATTATAATAAAAAAATTGGAATACTATTTTGCATACATGGAACATTCCAGTACTTAAAATTATTTAAAGATCTCAAAATTGAGAGTATCTATAGATATCGATGTTAATTATTGACAGAATATAATTTATTGTAATAAAAAAATTGGAGGGAGAAATATATTAGTACCAAAATTATTCTCTATACTCTCATCCTTATTGTGAGGGCATGGGGTAACTTTCCAATGGAACACCCTATTTTTTATTGCAGATTTGGATCATTCGACTAAAAATAGGTATATTTTGTCTAGACAAGAATTAAAAAAAATAGTTTTAAATGAAATGTAATGTAATTAAATGACTTTTACTTTAGGAAAGTTAGATATTAGTAAAAAATCGTATTTATAAGAAAAATCAGATTTAATATAATAAGATATTTATTTCCAATGAAAAAGTGATATGGGTGATTCTACAAAAGTTGGACAACTTGATGTCATCAGTCAATAGAGTAGGTATTTTAATGTATTTTTTCAAAAGCACGTTTGCAGAAAAACATAATAAATATTTAAAAAGTCAGTACCTTGGCGTGTCACAACTCCTGAATCAAATATTTGAGTGATTTTATTTTAAAATATATTCAATTTATCTTAAATTTTTCAATTTCACTACAAACTATAAAACATTAAATAATGTATTTTTCATATTTTATCATACATTCGAATAATAGCAATTTTTAAAAAAATTATAATCTTTGTACTCACTTTTACCCGTCAGTTCTGTGTTCAATGTTACAATTCAAAATTCCTGCGAAATATTGAAGTTTAAACGTCAAGTCCTCGTTTTAACTCAAGTGTTGGTACAAAATTACCTACAGAGCCCGCCCTTTGCACGACAGTCATCTTGAAAACAATGCAAGCGGCGAAGTTGTGGTGAATGCACGTATAGTTCCAGTCAAAATTTCAGTACTGTGGTGAGTAGTTATTTTCTTACGTATATATATTTCATTGTAATTTATATAAGGCTATATGTGATTTGTTCATAAGTAGCATCCACTAATAAAAAATATCAGTAAAATACTTATTTCCGATAATCTCAAATTTGTATCCCATTCATCAGTACTGTGTCGTCAGTTCCATGTTCGATGTTTCGGTTATCTTTTTTTCGCAAACTTCAATTTAAATTCTGCTTGCGCAAAACTTGTTTATTTAATGAGAGATATCGGTATACCCAAAATCCACCAGCCGCCACTGATGTGTGGTATTATTTGATTTTTAGATATTTAATGTATAATATGCTCAAAGTTGCAATAAATCTTATATTTTCAATAAATTATGTATTTAATTAGTACCCTGGTATACTCGTCACTTCCCTTGCATTCAAATTAACAAAATCTACCTATTTTTAGTCGAATGATCCGAATCTGCATAAAAATTTTAAAGTTACCTCATGCCCTCCCTATAAGGATGGGAGTATGGGGAATAATTTTGGTACTAATTTATTTTCCCCCTCGAATCATTTAATTTTTAATATTTTTTCGTAAAATGAAAAGTTTCAAGTCTTGTAGTATTTGCATGAATTTTTGTTATTTATTATAATAAGCAAAATTCAAAGAAAACATTTCTGATTTGTAATATATTTACACACCCAGTTTTACTTCTGCAAATGAAAGTGCATCTATAAAAGATCATAACTTATGCATTCAAATGAGATGGCAGTTAAAATCCTCATAAAAATTAATTAACTAGAACGTAAATAGCGATTTAATTAGAGATAAGCTGTCTCCTGATAGGTTTATTATAAAACGTAAATAAACCGATCAATATATCAAACATATTGTCCTACATAACGACAGGACCTGGTTTAACTATTAAAAGTGTATGTACTTATAATTATGATGTAAAATATTGGGAGATGTGGATCATTAATTTATTAAGATTTTACATTAAAAAAGTTAAAAATAAAACGAGAAATGAAAAAAACCTAAAAAAATCTTTTAAAATATTTCATTAAAAAAGCACTAAACATACCCAAATTCTTTTGAAAAAAATCCCATTTCTATAAATTGGTTTTATTTTTTTTTAAATACTGAATTTTACCTTCCGCCAAATTGTAGCATCAGGTGTCAACTGTTACGTAAACTTCGACGAATTTGTAGGTACCAATACAAAGTCTGAAATTGTTACAGTTGCTTACTATCAATTACAAAGACTGCAAGTTCGCAACTTTTTTCTTTAGTATTATCGCCTGCGGCCAGGTAAAATTACCGGTGAGTCACGACTTTTACATTGCAAGACATTGTGCTCACACTTGCCTAGCTAGAAGTTTTCGGATATATTCCACGTAGCTTACTTGATTAAAATTGTAACTAGAAGCAAAGATTAAATATCCTTTTAGTATATAGAAGTTTTGATTAAGTTAGGTAATTAACCAAGCGCTAAGCACTAATTAAATTTATACTGGAACTTTCTTCAAAGAAGATTCTCTAAACTTCTACAAATAGGTAATTGTTTAATGCATATTCCACTACCATCATTCCTATAGAATCCATAAATAATTTACAAATTAAAATAATTATATTTCCTCAAAGTAATAGAGAGCACAAGTTTCTTGGACACGGAGGTTTTAGTGTTTACATCAAGAGAAATTATTGTTCGTTATAATGGGAGAATAATTATCTCTTTAAGGAATAATTGCGTTTAGATTGCAGTATCGGAGTTAATTATGAAAATTAAGTGATGCCTTTGTGATTGTAAAACTGAGCCAATCTTAATTACAAGGCGGCAAATCAGAACAATGTTTGCCAGTGTAAAAAATCTCGATAACATAAATAGATACAGATTATTTAAGATAATATTATACCTAAAAACACTTAAACAAAAACTGAAAAAAATATATAAAAAACCGGCACTGATGAGGCCCAAAGGACCCACCAACTTGATACAATTTTAATTAAGGAATTTATTTCTTAAAATAAAAAATGCAAATGGTCTAAAAATTTAAAGAATTTTTAATTTTTTTTTAAGCATAATTAAAGCTAAAATTGCGTGAAATACTAATTAAATGTAGGTATTTCTCGGTATTTATTTAATCTACTACGAAGGCGCCATATTGCAGCTCAGGTGGTCAAAAAGATACAAAATCAATAAAAATAGTACGTTGAACTTCCACTTATAGGGCAGGGTAATTTTTGGTATCAATGTTACAATTTTAACATTATTACCTACATTAATTTGCAATTCATGAAGAAAACCAGATATACTCTTTTTATTTCCTTCGATTGATTTCCTCTTTACATAATTATTATCGCATAAAACCAATATATGCAAATTAATATACCTGTAAAACATGAAGTTAAATTACCATTACTTGATATTACCATAACTTAAAAAATATACCATTAGGTACTTTAAAATAAAAATTATAAATAGAACTTAGCAGCAATTGTTTTTTATGTAATCTGACATTGACATTTAAATTTAAAAAATGAACTAAATAATTAAATGGTAAGTACACGTGCAAAAAAGGTATTGCATTCCCCCAAAATTCGTTTTTAAGATTTAATTAGTTTATTATTAAAATTAAATTTGACCTTAGAATATAATTTATTTTCGTGGAAATTAATTTTAATATGTGTGGTTTTAAAAAGTGTTCTTTATAAATAATTATTAACAAAGAAAATAGTTTACACATGAAATATATTAGGTACGAAACAAAAATAACTTTTAGGTAGGTATAGGTAATTAAACTTACCTAATATTCTATTGCCATTTATGCAATTATGCAATTTTTATCTACTTTATGATAAATATAAACATAGAATTTTTTTTCATAAATCTTAAATATTTTTAAAAAATTGCATTATTATTGTGGCTTAGCTTATACAGTGGTAATAAAAAATTGATGAATTTTAATTAGACAAGTTTTAACAATATGACTCACATAATAATAAAATCAGTGTTGTATGCTATAAAAATATTCGTGTTTCAAAAAGTTTAAATTAGTTTTAAGCCAATCTAAAGGTAAATAGAGCGCAGACGATTTCCAATTACAGGTAAAAAAGCAAAAAGAAGATTTGGTTGTTTCAAAATTTAAAATTTGAAAAAAACGTAGCCTACACTGTTGTAACATTTACCTATTTATTATCATATTATTTATTGTATTGATTTATTTTGTAATTATGTAGGCCTACACAAAATATCTGTATTGTTCATTAAAAATGTATTATTTATAGTGGGTATAAAACCGACTTGGTGAACACGTTAAACATTGATCTAATCTGAGTTCGATTGTTTTCGGTCGAAATAAAAACAGTGTATGGCGAGTAAAAATCAAATTTTTGGCCATCTGCCAACGAAAAAAACGTGTATGACGTGCTTTGGAGGAGAGACAACGAGATTTGTCTGCGAACAAAACCAAATTAACATGTAATTAGAAACAACGAATTGACGAAATGACGTAAACAGCGGAACCGAATAGAAATAGGTATGCCGCTAGGAAAAACAAAATAGCTCGAAACAATTGAACACTTACCGCAATAGAAATGCAATTTTCATCGGCACCTTGAGGAAATTTGACTACGAATTTCGAACCAGCCTTTTCTTCTGAATCATTTAAGGGCCGAAACCTACACACGACTTTAATACTGTCCTCGGCCGGTATTTCACGCTCGCCCGACATTTTCCTCACTCAAATCACTCACAGCACAGTAATAAATTAATATTGAACTAATTAAAACTATAAATGATACATTTGTATAAAAAGTTGCTTATTTCCTTCGACACTGACGTTTCCTACTTCGAACAGTCAGCCATCTTTAGTGGATAAAAAATCGGTAGTTCAGTCGCATTGACCAACTTGCCATCGATCTCAACGCCCTCTATAGTCTCCTCCCCACAAACCCACCAGTTAAACTATTTTAAAGCTCCAAAACCCAATATATTACTCTTTAATAACACTCACACATCCTAAAATGCATTTAATTTAAAATAATTAGCATATTATTGGACATTTACAATATTTTATTATATTTTTAATTATGTTTTATGCAATCAGTTTCACAAGATTGTTAACCTGGTTGCATAGATACACGATTAATAAGTCATATGCACGTTGCCAAATTTAATACTTTTATAAAAGTCAACTTAAAAAAGTTTAAAAAATGTATCGTAAGGCAGTATGTTTTTATAATAACGATACCAAACAACTTTAGTAGTGAATTTTCACACAACAATACGAACTTTTAAGGCTGTATGTAAGTAAAATATATTTGACAAAATACCAACTCTGGTAAATTACTGAAACTTGACAACGTTAAAACAAAAAACCATCGAAAATGACACAACGCAGCTGATAGTGTTTTGTATTGGCTGATAATTGACCATATCGTCGCCTTCAGGAGAAAATTGCTTAACTCCATGTTGTAAAATTTTACAGGAGGAAAGAAAAACATATTAAAGGTGTATTGGTGTATCTCCACATTACCGCCAAAAAATTGTTTAATGGAAAATTACGTATCTCCAATATGTACTTTATGTTAATAAAAGTAACCTTAAATTATTCATGGTACCTTAACTTTACACACTATACAATCTTTCATACTTACATACAGAAAAAATAACTAGGCAATAACTTATACTTGTCAATGGCACTGATTTGTATATTGGAGTTAGGCATTATTCCCTGGACGCTCCTCCACGATTGGAGATACGTATATTTCTTTTTCTAAATTTAAAATTAACGGTTTATTTTAGGACATCTGTAACTTGCATATAAATTAGTTACAGTTTTATCTAACAGATGCCACTAAAATACCATTTTAATGAAAATGTGGAGTTACGTGATTTTCTCCTGAAGGCGACGATATGCAAGGAATGCGGTCGATGTTGCCAATGGTAAAAAAATAAAAGTCCCTATTGGGAACATTCAATTATATTACGTTGGCTACATTGAAAATTTGAATTTCCCGCACAAACTAAATTAATTTCTATCTTTATTTTTTAATAATAATAAATAATAATAATTCCCACATTTGAAATTCGCACCTTAACTTATTATACAACATTGGAACTACCTTCTTTATCTTTTTCTTTACTGGAATGTATGTCAGTTTGTGCGGGAAATTTAAAATTTCAGTGTAGCCAACGTAATATAATTGAATGTTCCCAATACACCTATCCCATATAATAGATTTTTCAGAGAGCTCATGCGCGAAAAAGCGCGGCAATTCCCTTTTTTTCAATATTTCCCCTTAATTCAGTCACAATTCAGTTTTACCAACATGATGAATGAATGAATAAAAACCCTTGTATAAAATCCAAAAAGTGAGGTTAAGTTTTTATTTATTTTATGACTAATTTTGAAAAATGCGTTGCTGTATACATTCCTGCCGAAATTTCTTGGTTAATATTAAAAGTGGAAAGTTTTTTTCAATCCCTAAAAATGTTCAGCTAAGGAAATTATGGATAGAATCATTAAAAATAAGCCCAGAAAAAATTACGGATAGCACCAAGGTAATTATTTAACTTAATAGCTTAATAATACACTATATAATACCAGATAACAATTATAATATACTTATTTACTATTTTTAGGTATGCTGGTTACATTTTGAAGAAAATGATTTGTTTGATTTCTCAACTAAAGTGAAATTAAAGCCAACGACAATTCCCACTTTAAATTTACCTCAGAATGAAAATATAGTAGAAGATGAAAGTATTGTACCAAATTTAGAAGAAAGTGCTAAGACACCAGCATTTATTATAAGAAGAAAAAAGTTGCGGCTACCTAAAAATGGTCTAAATTCAAGATTTTTTATTGAAAATTTTAAAAATAATGACAGAAAGATTTTGTATTATACAGGTCTTCCAAGCTACAAAATAGTAGTTATATTATATAAATTTATATTTACGAAACAAGTTCAGAGAAGAAAAAAAGGAAAATGGAATCAAAAACATAAGCTTTCTTCAATGAATGAGTTTTTCTTACATTAATAAAATTGAGACGAGGAATAGATTATGAATTATTAAGTGATATGTTTCAAGTATCCAAATCCACAGTGGGGAGAATCTGCCTTGCGTGGATAAATTTATTATATATTAAACTGGCTGGGTTAAATATATTTCCCCATAGAGACATAATTTTGGAGCATGCCTCTATGGTTTTTAAAAATAAATATCCCAAAGTTATAGGCAGTATAGACTGCACTGAGTTTTTTATAGAAACTCCATCATCCTTAACACTTTCGCTGCTGACTGGTATGGGCAATCGACTCCCAGAAACTGAAATAGTTTGGGAAATATTAAACAGTTTGAAAACAAGAAAAGTTTAAAACACATTTATTTAAAAAAAAAAACTCAGGGCTAGGACGTCTTAAGACGTCGTCAGCCACCTGCTAAAAAAATTTATCCAGAGGCGGAAGACGTCTATGTCTAAAGGATTACTAAAGGATAATAAGCGATATTTTAGTGGACGTCAAAAGGCGCCGTTCGCCTCCCACTTAAGAAGCGGTGGCCGTCTTTAGACGCCGTCAGCAGCGAACGTGTTAATAAAGCAGTCGCAATGCTACTCCCAGTATAAAGGATCCACTACTTTAAAAGCCCTCATAATGATAAGCCCCAGTGGTGCTATAATTTTTATTTCAGCACTTTTTACTGGTAACATACCTAAATTATTAATTTAAAATTCATATATTATTTGGAGTTTTTTTAGGATCTATATCAGATAAAAAAATTGTTGAAGAAAGTGGGTTTCTTAATCTTTAAAAAAAAAAAGTAGAAATTGGAGAATTGGAAAGAGGTGATATTATTTTGGCAGATAAGGGGTTTGAGATTAAAAATATTTTAGAAGATGCTGGAATATGCTTAAATATACCAACATTCCGAATATCAGGAATACAGTATGAACCCAACCAAATTGAATATATACGACACATAGCAAGAGAGAGGATCCATGTAGAACGGGCTATAAGAAGGATAAAAACTTTTAAAATTTTATCCCACAAAATACCCATTGCACTTATGGGGAGTGTTAACCAAATTTGTACAGTTTGTGCTTTGCTTACAAATTTTATGCACGAGTTAAAAAAATAAAGTTTTTTGTTGAAATTTATAAATTTACTAAAACAACCCAGCTTTAATTTTTAATAATTTATTTTAAAAAAATCAGAAGTCAATGGTTAGGTATTTTAATAAAAATATAAATATGCTCTCAAACCTCCAAAACTTGAACCTCTTTAACTATAACTATAATTTCTATGTTGTAAAGAAATATTTTGACTTTAAATTTAGTATAATTTTATAGTTAAAAATAAACAAAATCAAATACCTACAGGTAGAAAATTTAGTTATAAATGGAGATTATACCTCATATATCCTTCCCATTTTTTACTTAACTTTGCTTAATTTTATACCTACCTCAAACAAGTTTAATTTAGGTAAGATTTAATTTTACAAAATTTAAGGTAAAATTGTCTATAAAAATAAAAAAATTACCTGAAAATTAAATTATATCAATAAAAAACGTAGTAAAAGCTTAGATATATATTATAAATATTGGTTAATTTTTCGAACATTTTATAACAAAAATTTTGATCAAATTCAACTTTTACAATTACAATCTCGTTTTCTTCTTTAAAATAAACAGCCAGATCGCACCACTTTATTCCTGTAATTAACATTTGTCCCTGAACTTGATAATAATAATTATGGTTTTCTTTTAAAAATAGTCTCTTATTCTCATCTTCTTTCAAAAAAAAAGTTTTTGATTTTAAAGCTTCTTTTAAATTTTTATTTTTTTTACTAAATGGACATTTTATTTCCAAAATCCCATATTCATTTCCTCTTTTTATTATTCCATCTGGACTGGCACCCAAATATGGAGCATAAGGATGAACAATCAAACCACAAAGACAGACAACGTTTTTAGTTTGCTGTTCATATAATATTCTTGCATTTGTTTCATGATTTTTTCCATGCTGAACTGCTTTAACATGTCCCAAGTCTTGAGCTTCCCAAATGCTATTAAAATAACTAAACTCAAATGGCTTATTTCTTTTGCATAAAGACCCAAAATTTGAGGCAGTTAGCCTCCCTTTTCTGTATTCTTTCCATTCCTTAGAGTCACTTTGTTGCCTAGTTAAAATTTCAATATTTTTGGCATCTTCAAAATCAACATTAAAAAATGTATCCTCCCTTGGCATTGGCATAGAAATTAAAATATTTATGCATTCCATGTCCAAAACAGGCAACGATATGGGCAGTACTTCTACCTGATGGTTTTGTTGCAAAGTATTAAAATTCTGCATTGCCATTGTTGTCATACTTTCATCTAAAAAATAAAGAATAATAATTATATATTTATTAACATAAAAGGATTTTCTAAAATATTAAATAAGGTGCAAATGTAAATTACCTTGGTTTCTATCATTTATAAGGTAAGAAAATGGAATTTTTTTATTAATTTTTCTTAATCCTTTCTTCATTGTTTCCATTTTTATTTTATTTAACTCATTTTCTTTTAATAAAGAATCAGGGGTTAAAAAAGTTGACATTATTGGCCTTTTCTTTCGATTTATCTTTGTAGGTTTATGAAAAACTGCATTGACAATACTTTGAGGCAGAATTTTTGTACCCCTAGGTTTGTTCCACTCCATTGGTTTCGATGTGCTGGCAACATCTAAAACTTCATCTTCTTCTCTTAATAGCTTATCTTGCAAATAATATGCTAAGCTTATTAAATGGTGACAAGACTGTGATAACCTAAAATAAAAAAAAATATTAAGTATAAGATTCAAAACAACAAATCCTATAACTAGTATTATTACATTAAATAAAAATTAAATATTAACTAGTATCTTTGTTAAACTATGCTAGTATTATTATATCAAATATTAGACTTACCCAACTTCACATGAACAGTGACACTCTTGTAGACACAGTTGCTCTTCATTTCCAGATTTAAAAACAAAATAAAGGCTATGGGGTTTTTCATTTCGTTTTTGGGAATGATAACACCTTGCTTTAATGGAAAGTTCACTTTCGTTAATCCAAATATCGTGGAGGAATCCTTCAACGAAAAACTTATATGCTCGGGTATGGTGTTGTTGCGTAGCACCATGTCTAGCAAAAAATTGCTTGGCCTCATCAAAATCAAATTGTTTAAGACAAGATATCTTTTTTTGCCACATTTTTTAGTATAAACAGTATCAAAATACAAAACAATAATAATTAATTTTGGATTGACGTCTGTCATTTAAACACAGTGCAGGTAACATAAAGTAAAAATCCCCCAATATTTAAGGGGTAATATTTAAGAGGTGGTAATTTTGCGCACGCGCTATCCGGACAAGGATGAACGGGATAGGTGTATAGGGAATTTTATTTTTTTACCATTGGCAACAGCGACCGCATTCCTTGCATATGGTCAAATTGTATTATTTGATAACAACATCCGATTAACCGCATCTTAAAATGTAATTGTGAATTATTTTGGTTGTAACGTGACATGAGCGCACTCAAGGTTGTTTCACCTCCCCACAAATTATGGTATGTTCCACTTACTACTATAGCATGCTTTATTAACTGTGCCATGGATTTATTCCGCTGTAAAACGTAAATTATTAAGGTATGTTTTTCGTTATACCTCGCTGAAAATACTATGTTTCAACGTCTACTAAATTCGCATAGAAAATTGGCATAAATAGAAACATTTTGGCGTGAAAAGCCTATTGTTATAAATATTGTTATTGTAGTCATTTAGGCTGATGTCTGCAATTAATTCGACTATAGTAAACTCTCAGAGGAAGCCCGAGGACTCAGGCAAGCTTTTAGGCCAACTTTTAGAGTGCGTGCAGGATTGCCAGAAAAGATATGGAGGTAAAACGGAGTTAGCAACAGAATTTGATAGTTGTGTGGCTGGCCTTTGTTTGTCTTTGGAAGCGGTTTTTTCGCATGGTTTACGTACGAAACCCTTTGAAAAACAGAACTCTTCTGCTTTGAAACAAGTGTCTGATATCGTTACCAACAGTCTGCATATAGGGAACGAGGTGCCATGTAAGTATTATCACTTTTACTTGAATTATCTACTCCTACATCTAATATTTATTGCACTGGCGCATGCATAGTTCTGTGGGTGCATATAATTGTAATAACACAGTTTGACACATTGTAAAAAAGTAAGGTTAACACTGTTTGACATATGTCAGATTGGCAAAAAGTGGGGTTAAAACCGCTTGACATACTTATGTTAATATGATTGTTTACAAATTTGAAATTAAATTTTAAAATCAAATAATCCAAGAAAACCATTGAAACCAATAGGTACATTAATGTAGCAAAACTTAACCTAAAAGACAAAACGCATCTGTCAACAATACAATTAAGGTTAGTTCACAGTGCGATTTTCTATTTTTATAAAAGTGTGTATTTGAGGACAAAAATTTTAATTAATGTGATGTTTTGAGTTAATAAAATGATTAATAAATTGTTTGCGGTTTTTTTATGAAATTAATAAATGTTTTGTTCCTTTAATTTAATAAATTAATTGTTTACGATTTTTTTTATAAAATTAATAAATGTTTTGTTCCTTTAATTTTTTACTAACTAATATTAACTTACAGTAAAATGGTAGGCACATTATTGGAGACACTTTTTAGACATTTAATTTAGTAGTCTTCATTTGTTGCCTTTTGGATTTTGTGTGATTGTGTTTACAGCTTTTTGGCCTTTTGTTAAAAGACATCTAACCAATCATGAGCAGGAGCGTTATTCAGTTTTGAAGCAAATTTGGACTGATATAGGTCGCAGTAAGGCCTGGATTAGGTCTGCTCTAAACGAGAGATCGTTGGAAAGGTGAGTTTAACTTTGATAATAAAGTACTAAAAATGCAAAAAGTTTTTTTTTGTCACGTTTTCGAGATATACCAGGTGTTTTAGAAAAGCCTGTACAAAATGATACAACATATTCCTGAGATCAAAATAATGCAATATAACTAAATTCTTTTATACAAAGGGTGATAATAACCAAGATACAGGTTGTTGAAAGTTCGTTGTCGATTTTAAATAACTGGAAAAAACAAACGTTGTTTTATTTATGTTTTTATTACTGCTAAAGTAGAATTGGTGTTTTGTTATAAAAAAATGTTCTTAAAAGGCAATAATTAAATTAATTATCTTTATTTTAAATTTTAAGTTTCAATCTTAAAATTGTAAATAGGGAAATCAATGAAAAATTTAAATATTTTTTAATTACTTTTGAAAAAAAATTAAAGTAATTAAAATAATGCATAATTGACTTATTTTATGTTTGTTATTTATGATGTTTAAATTTATCAGATTATTTTTAGCTATAAACAAACAAATGATGTGTTGTTTGTTTCTGCTATAAACCAATTTTTAGAAAGAATAAATTTTATTTAATAAGGTACTTAATAAAAGATTTCTAAAGCAAATAAAACAGGATTAAATGTGATTGAATTTAATTGATTTAAAGTGCTATAGATAACAACTTATAATCAATATTTTTTTGTAGATATTGTACCAAATTATTGGGAGATCAGGAAATTTTAAAAATCTACTATGAAGACTGGGCTTTGTTGCGAGACCAAGAGAAAAGCAGCTTACTACCTAATATGGCAGCAGGTAATTAATAAAATAATAAAATCGTTTTTAATTTTGTCTTTGGGGATTTATTTTTTCAGGCCTATGCTCCATACTGTTTGCTGTGAGTATCGATAAGCCAGAGCTTAATAGCGGGATCGCCCATAGAAACGATCATCTCAGATCTAAAGCAGAGCCCATTATAGAGGCACCAGTCTTAACAGGTAGGCAAATAAATAGTAAAATATATTATAATCCCCTAGGTGTTTTGTCATTATTTATTAAATTAACACCTGTTTTTAATCCACTTTAGCATAAATTTTAAGAAAAGTTTATTGAAGAATAAATTATTTCTCCTAAAAACATACTTGCTTTGCTGGTTGAGATAAGAACGGTCTTTTTTATAAAGGAAATGTTATATTCTCCACCGGATATTTAAAATAAAAATTGCATGATTGATATTAAGCACTATAATATATTATTTTAAAAGTGGATTTAGCAGTTATTATTATGCATTAATGCATTTATTTTTTTGCTGATAAATATTACATGCTTAATTGAGTTGGTTTGATAAAACGTAAAAATAAAAAATGTTTGTGTATCAGTTACTTAAAATTAGTGGGGGCTTCACCAAGCATTTGTTTATTTGTTCTTCCTTTTATGTTTATTATAGTCGGGAAAAAATAATTTTATTTACTTTTAAACTATTAACAAATAATTTAATATTTAAGTAAAAAAAAAAATAAAGGCATCTTATAAAATTTAGCACAAAAAATATTTTTTAGTTATTTCCAACATTGACTTCTGATATTATTTAAATTCGAAAATATCGTAAAAGATCTTTTTTGTGGAGCGTATAATTTAATACAAAAATATGTCACCTATATTGTTGCATGCACACAACAAGGTCTGTTCTATAATATTGTTTCGCGAAAACTAAAAATTACAAAAATAGGCAACCCACAGACTTTAAGGACATAAAAATAGCCGTCGCCCTAAACCAAACAAGTTGGTTTGGTCTAGAGTCGTCGCGACAGCTATTTTTATGTTTGCGATTCTTGTGCTTTGGGTTTTTCCGGCTTATACAGACTAAAAATCGTTTTAAACGTTGAGTTTCTTACAGAGGCATTTGTAAGCCTCAAATAAGGCCTTAAAGTGTCGAGGACAACCATTTTACTCTTCAATTATTATTACTGTAAATTTTAAGGTTAATTTACCATACCACGGTCTTATATAAGACCGTGTACCATACCCACGAAATAACCTTAAAATTGACATTTTACAGTTTTATGACAGGTTTATTTTTTACAAAAGGCTTACAAGTAACTCTATAAGAAACACAAGGTTTAAAACGATTATTAATCTGTATAAACAATCACAAGAATTTCAAAATTGTTTTTTAACAGTAAACAAATAATTTAGATGATACCAAAGTAAAAAAACAACTTGGGAAATAACAGACACCCCAAGGTATAAATTTAATTCTGTATAAGAAATATCAAGCATTAAAACTAAGTGCCATATAGGGTTTTAAAATTTCCGGAAAAATTGAGTCGGCGGAAAAAAAACCGTTTTTTTCGAAAAAAAAATGGAAAAATTTGTAAATTTTCAAAAAACTTGCTTTTTTATTTTTAAATTTTATTCAAATGATAATACGAAAAAAAGCAAACGTCAATTTTACTGAAAATTTCCAAATTTTTAGGGATAATATCCGTACACTGATTATAATTATAATTATTTCATTTATTTTAATTTAGAAAGAATATTCTACCGGGCCACAAAAAAAAACATATTTGATGCTGTATTAACATAACTTTTATTTAACACTTCGATTATAAAATTATTTTGTAGATGGATATTTTTACTCCTTTTTTGCAAAAAAAAACAACCGACAGTATATTTCACGTTTACGTTTATTTTCTTAAATCAATTTAATTTAATTCAATGTTGTTTTTTTTGTAATAAAGGATATATTTTTTTAATTAAAATTATGTTAAGTTGTTGATTGCTATTTTTTTCAATTGTATACAAAAATGTATACAAATGTATGTATTTTCCAAGAAAAAATTCAATTTTTCCCAAAAAAGCCAATTTTGTCAAGGCCTGGGAAAAAAACGGAAAAAACAGTTTTTCCCCCAATTTTTCAGTTTTTTTTTCGATACTTTAAAACCCTAGTATCATATCTTAAATACAAATTTTACTATGTTTTTAATCATACAAACATAAATTTTAACAAAAAATTCAATAAATAAACGAAAAAACAGTAAAACAAATAGGAATGAATCATATAGGTACAATGTTTATATTTATAAAAAAAATAAAAATCGTAAGCAAATAATTTATGTTAGTAGGAAAAATGATAAAATTATCGGAAAATGATATTAAATACAATTAATACAGGTTTATGGGGCGCCGTTTGCGTCAAAATAGAAGTGTAGAAAATAAATATAATATCTCTCACAAAATATAGAATGTAACTGAAAATGTATAGAAAACACAAAATAGGTATATAAAATATAACAAAATAAATAAAATTCAACAAAACATATAACACTAGGCAACAAATTTTAACTTAAAAAAAAGGTCCTGGTTAAAAATAGAATTTTTCGATTGTTTATGACTGAAATAGATCCAAAATGTTTTTAAAAAAATTTTCTGAAGTCGTAAATAAAAAATAGGAGCACAGTATTTTGGTACCATTTATTGCATAGATACACCATTTGAAAATTTTAAGATGACGTTACTTTTAACTTATATTTCAGCATTCCAAGAACAACATATCTGTACATATTGTAATAATTTAAGGCATGTTTTTTTGATGTTTACTGTTTTTTACCGTTCAAATTATTTTGTTTACTAATTTTTATCGTTATTATTTAACAATTTTTCTTTGCATCATGGTGCTGCCCGTATCGTCTAAACGAGACTTTGGAAAATTTTTTGGTCGCCGGATTTGCGTCGAGCAGGTCGAAATCTATAGGAGTGTGCTATTTTTATTACCGACCTTTTTTATTTACTAATTTTTATCGTTATTATTTAACAATTTTTCTTTGTATCATGGTCCTGCCCTTATCGTCTAAACGAGACTTCAGAAAATTTTTTGGGCGCCGGATTTGCGTCGAGCAGGTCAAAATCTATAGGACTGAGCTATTTTTATTACCGACCTTTTTTTATTGTTTACTAGTGTAATTTACCTATAATAAAACAAATAAAATCCAACAAAATATAGAAAATCAAACAATAGTCAACAAAATATTAAAACTCGGGTTCCTCACTTGGCCGTTTGAGGGCGCTCGACGCACAAGTTTCAAAAAGACTAATATTAGGAGATTTTTTCCCAATGCGGTAAGTTTTTAAGGTTTTCTTTAAATCCTTTTACTTTTTAATTTTAATTTATAGCTTTAATTGGAAACGATGTAGTTGAATCTGCCAAGGATGGATGAAGTTACAACATTTTTCAGGGATTTGATGCATGACTTCGCTGAAGGGGTTCTATTAGTCTTCTTGAAACTTGTGCGTCGAGCGCCCTCAAACGGTCAAGTGAGGAACCCGAGTTTTAATATTTTCTTGGCTTTTATATGTTTTGTTTGATTTTTTATATTTTGGATTTTATTTGTTTTGTTTAATTTTATTTGTTTTTTTACAGGTGTATTATATGTTTTGTTGAATTTTATTTTTTTCGTTATGTTTTATATGTTTTGTTTGATTTTATTTGTTTTGTTACGGGTGTATTTTATGTTTTGTTGGATTTTATTTGTTTTGTTATATTTTATAATATATTATGTTTTGTTATATTTTATAAACCTATTTTGTGTTTTCTATACATTTTCTGTAAAATTCTATATGTTGTGAGAGATATTATATTTATTTTCTACACTTCTATTTTGACGCAAACGGCGCCTCATACAGGTTTGATTAAACTAAAAATTGTAATTTGTGTGATTATTAAAATTTTTCAACAACTTTGTACATTTAGAAAATTCTGTAAATTTGATAATTTTTAAAATTCTTAAACTCCGTCAGGGATTTCTACTAAAACCTTGAATATGATCCCCCTACTTCCACTCATCTGTTTTAGGTGACCATTTGTGATAAACTTCATACTGTAGAAGTTTTGTTAGTAGTGAGGTTTTACTCAAAACTCAAAGTATAACTTCAATAACTTTAAAAATATTCTTCCCATATCATTACAGCATTAAAGGGAGATAAAAAATATTAAGTTTCTTTTCGGCATAGATAAATATTACGTGCCAATTCGTGTTATTTTAACGTATCGAAACACAATTCCGAGTAAAAATAAAAATTGTTTACCGATGCGTTACAGACCGGCCGACGCAGCGCAAGAAAAACAAAAAAGTGGCTCGCCAGTTCATTTCGTTCGACGACGACGACAGCGGCCGTCTGTCGACCAGTCTGCCCTCGAGTTCTTCGAGCATGTCCTCGCTGGAGACGAGCTCGTGCGCGGAGGCGGCCAAACCGCCGGCGCTCGCCGATCCGCAGCTGAACCAGATCAGCGAGGAGGCGCGGGCGGACCCGAAGCCGCCCGAACCGCAACGACCGCACTCCGTGCATCGGAAGCTGTCGTTCGAGAACAGCGGCTCGCGGGACAAGTTCTCCACCGAAGTTCCCGGAAGTTTGACTCCGGTGTCTCAGGTAAAAATCCAATTCAAAACATGATTATTTGACAACCTCCTCCTTACTTGTAAAATGACAACTTTGGTGATATGCGAGGCGTAAACAACCGGGACAAATTTGTACGCCTATTTAAATTAAATTATTGTGTATTACGTCGTATTACGTAATAACATTTGGTATTACTTCAAGTATTACTTAATATTACGTTTATTACTTGGTATTACGTTATACAGATATGCTATGTATATGCTAAAGAAGTATCGCTAGTAGCGCCACCACTCGGCCGTTATCATCGTAAGAACTTTTAATAATCAGCTGTTAAACGCTTATGTTACAAACAAATGTTTTTGAGAAAAAAGCTGGAAAATGTTAAAAAATATCGGAAAAAAACCGTGGAACGGTTTGTTGTGTTGTTGGGTGAAATCCTGGGTTGAGTTTTTACCGGTTTTCCAATAAACAGTGTTAATCCGAATAAAGAAATAAATTTCATACAGTCCCTGTTAATATAAATTGTATCTATTAGATACAATAAATACACAGTTTAGTAATGATTAACGTGAAAAGTGTAAACATTTCAATTCAGTAAAAATCGTCAAACAAATAAGTCGTCTAAATGTAAACAGCATTTAGCATTATTAAAAGCGTTGATTAAGAATTCTCCACTCAACGGTAAAATACCTTTATATATATATATAACTATTATATTATGTTTCCATGAATTCGTAGGTATATTTTGTTGTTTGAAATGAAGTTGTCGGCGTTTTTTTAGAGAACTCAAATATAAAAATGGTTGATTTTAAGGTTATGTTTGTGCAAAAATTACTTTTTACTAATTTCTTAAAACTTAAATATAAATTTTATTAGGTAAAGTTATCATTAGTTAATTCTGCACCAACAAATGTACTTACCGAATTGGATCCTTTGGCAAAACATGAAAATGCAACGATTTAGTTCTTGAATTTTATTTACAATTAAAAACACAATAATTCACCATGATCCCTTAGATAAAATACACACTCTAACGTAACTATATAAGCATTTAAGCGTTGAGTTTCTTAATGAATGATATAAAGAATAATCAATCGAAATCGAAAACTAAACCAGTTTTTTCCTTGCAACGCAAAACACAAATAACGTGCGCGATTTAGCTGTGCAATTGAACAAAATTTGTCGAGTAAGACTTCTGCCTTCCTCTCTTTTGTGAAAAAATACCTTTTTATTTAAAAATGATGTACAGTTTGTATGCTTTAAATGTATTGTTGACAATTCTTAATTTCACGCAATGCTTTTGAAGTCCACCAGTTGGCGCGCGCGTTGCGAAAACCCGATACTTGTTTAGAGTATACATCGTATTTTTGTATACAGTATACTGAGCGACGCCTACAAGAATAAAGTTTAAATTATACACTGATTAAACATTAAAGTTTTAAAAACATTAGGTTTAAAAAATTAGCCAAAAAAAACACAATGGATTGTGAATAAAACTTAATTATGTTTTATTCAATATCCATTAATGTAATCCACAATTGTGGTTTTATTGAGGTTTTTATTTAGGCACATTTCCATATTTAAATTAAGTATCTCATTAAGTATAAGTAAAAACCCACTGGATAAGGGGACGTAAAAATTGCGTTTTTAAATGGACGTAAAAATTACGTTTTAAAAAAAATGTCATTTTAATATGGACGTATAGGTTTTGTTTCAACACGTATTAGTTACGTTTTTTTTTTAATAAAACACCCACAGAAATATTTTTTTTATTAAAATAAATTATTCTTTAAAAACAATCTTTGGTAAAATTACCCTAGTCCTTTTTTACGTAAATTTTACATCATACATATATATTAGGGTGTCCCTTATTTTTATTTTTTTTACGCATACCCTCTAATTATATTTATTACTTGTTTATATACTCCCAGTAAAAAGTTCAGCTCATTCTATAAACGGGAACCCCTGCCGACTTGCATCTAAACCCTCCGTTGGCTCCGTTGGCTCCGTTAGGCGCGCGCGGTATTTTGTAACCCGAAACACTTTAAAAAGAAGATATACTTCATGGGTGACGTTCACAATATCGAAATTCATTATATCGAATTCAAAATATCGAACACTTTTTATCGAAAATCAAAATATCGAAAATACAAAATGTCGAAAATCAAAATATCGAAAATTAAAATGTCGAAAATGATAATATCGAAAATTAAAATGTCGATTTGAAAATGTCGAATAATTAAAATTTCGAAAATTAAAATGTCGAAAATGATAATATCGAAAATTAAAATGTCGATTTGAAAATGTCGAATAATTAAAATTTCGAAAATTAAAATATCGATTTAAAAATATCGAAAATTAAAATGTATGATTAAAATCGAAGTGTATATGTACAGAGGCGCCTCTGTAGATAAAGTTACGGTTATGCACCGAATTATCTTGGCTCCCTGGCTCCTAGAGATGCGCGTTTTATAGAAATGTACTCAAACTCAACAACAAAACCCAACCGACCCCGCCCCATTGCCCCCCCCCCCCGCCCCATTGAGCAAAAAACCCAACTAAAATGGGCAAATTCATGTTACGATAAAAATAAAACACTTTTTAATTACATAAATTAGCCCATTTTAGTTGGGTTTTTTGCTCAATGGGGCGGGGGGGGGCCAATGGGGCGGGGTCGGTTGGGTTGTGTTGTTGAGTTTGAGTACATTTCTATATCAGAGGCGCCTCCATATTATTATAATCGATATTTTAAGCAGTCGATATTTTATTTTCGATAAATTGAAAATTCGATTAAATAAAATTTCGACATTTTGTATTTTCGACATTTTAATTTTCGACATTTTGTATTTTCGATATTTTGATTTTCGATAAAAAGTGTTCGATATTTTGAATTCGATAAAGTGAATTTCGATATTATGAACGTCGATATTTTATTTTCGATAAATTGAAAATTCGATTAAATAAAATTTCGATATTATCATTTTCGACATTTTAATTTTCGATATTTTGATTTTCGACATTTTGTATTTTCGATATTTTGATTTTCGATAAAAAGTGTTCGATATTTTGAATTCGATAAAGTGAATTTCGATATTATGAACGTCACCCATACTTCATGACTGTATTTTTCTAATGATTTTATTAAATATGAATCATATTTAAGGGATAAAATCAACTAAATTAGCGAAACAAATGATAGAAACAAAAGCAATAATATTAATTAGTAATCATATTATATGATTACTAATTAATATTATTGCTTTTGTTTCTATCATTTGTTTCGCTAATTTAGTTGATTTTATCCCTTAAATATATTAATATACTAATTAGTATTGGTAAAATATACTGTTATATAAAATTTCAGCTTTTTATAAGCATTTCTTTTCTTGATGTCCTCCCAAAAATATTTCAGACAGCTCAATAAGTTTTCGGTAGTCATCTCTCACAATAGACTCTTTTAGTTATTTAGAGTAAAACCCATTAAGTTTATCAATTTCAGAGTTTACGGCCAGACCCTTCCGGGTAACTAGCCACTGAAAATATACATTTTTATCAAAGTATACACATAAATAAAATTATATTTTAACATTTGTCAATAATTTATAATATAAGGGTCACATAATAACAAACACAAAATGACTTACGATCGAAGACCTCGCGACCAACCGTGTTACAAAATATCGCGCGCCTAACGTTGGCTAACGGAGGGTTCAGATGCAAGTCGGCACGGGTTCCCGTTTATAGAATGAGCTGAAATTTTTACTGGAAGTATATAAACACGTAATAAATATAATTAGAGGGTATGCGTAAAAAAAAATAAAAATAAGGGACACCCTAATATATATATATATATATATTAATCTCACTAAGCAATAATAATAAATACTTAATTATTAATTCGCGGTATAATTTCGCTATTTAATTATCTAGGTACACACTCAAATTGACAACAAAAAGTGTAAATGTGGCATATATTTAAATGTTCATCATTGGCAAACCTACCCCATTCATATTTATCATGTGTCCCATTGGTGACGTAAAATGTACGTTGTGTTTTGCACCTCGCTCGCTCGACAGCACCTTCTATTTTTTAGAGTAATTTTGACGGAAATTGAACATCACTAAAAGCGTAGTTAATATGCCTTAAAATTGACAATTTTAAACGTCACTGTTATATCACCACATCCATAACGTTCAGTGGGTAGATTTTCGAATAATTCAATGTTTTTAAAATCAGGTCGAAATCGGCGAACTGACGCCAGTTTCGGTGGAAGTGAACAAAAACTTCGAATCTCCCGACTCCTCGGACGACATCCTCGAGGTGCCCACCGACATCAGCGCCGTGCTGATAGCGGTAGAAAACAAAAACCAAGAGGAGCTCGCGAAAAGGCAGGAAAAAATCGACCTCCTCGCGAAAGAAAACGACGGCCTCAAGGAGCAGATAAAGAAGTACGTGGGCGCCATCCAGATGCTCAGAAGGGACGACGACGGCATGCAGAAGGCCTTGGACGGCTTGCAAATCGAACCCCAGCCCGACTACAAGGGCGAGGCGAAGTGCTTCGAGAGAAAGTTGGTGCAAGTCGCCGAGATGCACGCCGAGCTGATGGATTTTAATGTCATGCTGCAGCAGAGTTTGTGCAAAAAAGATGCGCTTCTGGAGCGGTTGAAAAACGAGCTGGCGGTTTTAAGAGGGCCGATGTCTACAGACGAGTCAAATGAGGAGGAGATGAGGAGCAGCGTCAATATTTGGGTACCTTCCGCATTTTTAACAGGTTTAAAACTATTAAGAAGATTAACTATCAACTATTGAATTTAATTGCCTTAGGATCTGGATCAAGTTCCCACCATGTTTACCAAATATTCCTTAGAGCTGGAAACGATGAATGGAACATTTATAGGCGATACGCGCAATTTTACGCTCTTCATACAGATTTGAAAAAATTGGACCCTGTAGTGGCCACATTTGATTTTCCACCGAAGAAAAGCATAGGAAAAAAAGTAATTATCAAAAACATTATTTTTACATCTAATAGTCATTTTATTTAGGATTCCGCTTTGGTAGAAGACAGGCGCAAACGCCTTCAAATATATTTGAGAAGAGTTTTAGGACATTGGCCCGAATTGTCTCACTGCAATAGTAGATTTTTGCTGGAGCAACATTTGGCTTTCTTTAAGTAAGATTTTAATTTGAAATCATGATAAAATTTTAACCAATATTTTTTAGGGATGTGAAGGAAGATCCAAAAAAGAAAAGTGTTTTTTCGTCGAGAAGAAGCGGCCCAAATGATAATCATTATACAGGGCTTTAATAATTGTATGGTTTAGTTGAATTTTAATTTTAAACTACATTAACAAACATATAAGTATTCTGGTTACTAGATGCAACATTATCGCTGGAACGAATATGTTACTACTTACTCATCCTAAGTATATTTTTATGTAAATACTCAACTATTTTTTATGAAATGTATTGTTTTAATTTTAATATAACAGTTTATAGATTTTAAAAAAATTGGGTTTTATTTTCTACATGCGGCTTTTTGATACCGTGCTTGTCAAAAAAGCATATTTTTTAATTTTTTTCAAACCAAGTTTTGGAGTATCAATTCAATGTAAAACTTGCTCTCATAGGAGGACACTCGTTTCTTTTAATAGCTGCAGTACCTGTGTTTTTATTAAGGTACAAGACGTCTCCTAACTTCGTGACAAGCATTAATAATATTAGTAATTAGGTATAACATTTTAATAAAATGATTTTATTATATTTTAAAATCACAATGGAACAAGTTTGTACTGATATATAATATAAAGGATTTATAACAATGTAAAAAATTAACAATTGTGACTCAAGTTTTGCAAAAAAGATGCGCTTCTGGAACGGTTAAAAAACGAGCTGGCGCTTTTAAGAGGGCCGATGTCTACAGACGAGTCAAATAAGGAGGAGATGAGGAGCAGCGTCAATATTTGGGTACCTTCCGCATTTTTAACAGGTTTAAAACTAATAAGAAAATTAACTATCAACTATTGAATTTAATTGCCTTAGGATCTGGATCAAGTTCTCACCATGTTTACCAAATATTCCTGAGAGCTGGAAACGATGAATGGAACATTTATAGGCGATACGCGCAATTTTACGCTCTTCATACGGATTTGAAAAAATTAGACCCTGTAGTGGCCACATTTGATTTTCCTCCGAAGAAAAGCATAGGAAAAAAAGTAATTATCAAAAACTTTATTTTTACATCTAATATTCATTTTATTTAGGATTCCGCTTTGGTAGAAGACAGGCGCAAACGTCTTCAAATATATTTGAGAAGAGTTTTAGGACATTGGCCCGAATTGTCTCACTGCAATAGTAGATTTTTGCTGGAGCAACATTTGGCTTTCTTTAAGTAAGATTTTAATTTTAAATCACGATAAAATTTTATCCAATATTTTTTAGGGATGTGAAGGAAGATCCAAAAAAGAAAAGTGTTTTTTCGTCGAGAAGAAGCGGCCCAAATGATAATCATTATACAGGGCTTTAATAATTGTATGGTTTAGTTGAATTTTAATTTTAAACTACATTAACAAACATATAAGTATTCTGGTTACTAGATGCAACATTATCGCTGGAACGAATATGTTACTACTTACTCATCCTAAGTATATTTTTATGTAAATACTCAACTATTTTTTATGAAATGTATTGTTTTAATTTTAATATAACAGTTTATAGATTTTAAAAAATTTGGGTTTTATTTTCTTCATGCGGCTTTTTGATACCGTGGTTGTCAAAAAAGCAAATTTTTTAATTTTTTTGAAACCAAGTTTTGGAGTATCAATTCAATGTAAAACATAGGAGGACTCTCGTTTCTTTTAATAGCTGCAGTACCTGTGTTTTTATTAAGGTACAAGGTGGTACAAGCATTAATAATATTAGTAATTTTAATAAAATGATTTTATTATATTTTAAAATCACAATGGAACAAGTATGTACTGATATATAATATAAAGGATTTATAACAATGTTAAAAATTAACAATCATGACTCTATATCTTCTAAAATTTTGTAAAAAAGATGCGCTTCTGGAACGGTTGAAAAACTAGCTGGCGGTTTTAAGAGGGCCAATGTCTACCGACGAGTCAAATGAGGAGGAGATGAGGAGCAGCGTCAATATTTGGGTACCTTCCGCATTTTTAACAGGTTTAAAACTATTAAGAAAATTAACTATCAACTATTGAATTTAATTGCCTTAGGATCTGGATCAAGTTCTCACCATGTTTACCAAATATTCCTGAGAGCTGGAAACGATGAATGGAACATTTATAGGCGATATGCGCAATTTTACGCTCTTCATACGGATTTGAAAAAATTAGACCCTGTAGTGGCCACATTTGATTTTCCACCGAAGAAAAGCATAGGGAAAAAAGTAATTATCAAAAACATTATTTTTCCATCTAATAGTCATTTTATTTAGGATTCCGCTTTGGTAGAAGACAGGCGCAAACGTCTTCAAATATATTTGAGAAGAGTTTTAGGACATTGGCCCGAATTGTCTCACTGCAATAGTAGATTTTTGCTGGAGCAACATTTGGCTTTCTTTAAGTAAGATTTTAATTTGAAATCATGATAAAATTTTAACCAATATTTTTTAGGGATGTGAAGGAAGATCCAAAAAAGAAAAGTGTTTTTTCGTCGAGAAGAAGCGGCCCAAATGATAATCATTATACAGGGCTTTAATAATTGTATGGTTTAGTTGAATTTTAATTTTAAACTACATTAACAAACATATAAGTATTCTGGTTACTAGATGCAACATTATCGCTGGAACGAATATGTTACTACTTACTCATCCTAAGTATATTTTTATGTAAATACTCAACTATTTTTTATGAAATGTATTGTTTTAATTTTAATATAACAGTTTATAGATTTTAAAAAATTTGGGTTTTATTTTCTACATGCGGCTTTTTGATACCGTGCTTGTCAAAAAAGCATATTTTTTAATTTTTTTTTAAACCAAGTTTCGGAATATCAATTCAATGTAAAACTTGCTCTCATAGGAGGACACTCGTTTCTTTTAATAGCTGCAGTACCTGTGTTTTTATTAAGGTACAAGGCGTCTCCGAACTTCGTGACAAGCGTTAATAATATTAGTAATTACAACATTTTAATAAAATGATTTTATTATATTTTAAAATCACAATGGGACAAGTACATATGTACCTACTGATATATAATATAATGGATTTATAACAATGTAAAAATTAACAATTATGACTCAATATCTTCTAAAGTTTTGCAAAAAAAGATGCGCTTCTGGAACGGTTGAAAAACTAGCTGGCGGTTTTAAGAGGGCCAATGTCTACAGACGAGTCAAATGAGGAGGAAATAAGGAGCAGTGTCAATATTTGGGTACCTTCTGCATTTTTAACAGGTTTAAAACTATTAAGAAAATTAACTATCAACTATTCAATTTAAATGCCTTAGGATCTGGATCAAGTTCCCACCATGTTTACCAAATATTCCTTAGAGCTGGAAACGATGAATGGAACATTTATAGGCGATACGCGCAATTTTACGCTCTTCATACAGATTTGAAAAAATTAGACCCTGTAGTGGCCACATTTGATTTTCCACCGAAGAAAAGCATAGGGAAAAAAGTAATTATCAAAAACATTATTTTTCCATCTAATATTCATTTTATTTAGGATTCCGCTTTGGTAGAAGACAGGCGCAAACGTCTCCAAATATATTTGAGAAGAGTTTTAGGACATTGGCCCGAATTATCTCACTGCAATAGTAGAATTTTGCTGGAGCAACATTTGGCTTTCTTTAAGTAAGATTTTAATTTTAAATCACAATAAAATTTTAATCAATATTTTTTAGGGATGTGAAGGAAGATCCAAAAAAGAAAAGTGTTTTTTCATCAAGAAGAAGTGGCCCAAATGATAATCAATATACAGGGTTTTAATAATTGTATGGTTTAGTTGAATTTTAATTTTAAACTACATTAACAAACATATAAGTATTCTGGTTACTAGATGCAACATTATCGCTGGAAGGAATATGTTACTACTTACTCATCCTAAGTATATTTTTATGTAAATACTCAACTATTTTTTATGAAATGTATTGTTTTAATTTTAATATAACAGTTTATAGATTTTAAAAAAATTGGGTTTTATTTTCCACATGCGGCTTTTTGATACCGTGGTTGTCAAAATTTTTAAAAGCATATTTTTATTTTTTTTAACCAAGTTTTGGAGTATCAATTCAATGTAAAACTTGCTCTCATAGAAGGACACTTGTTTCTTTTAATATATTAGCTATAGCTATAGCTATAGCTATAGCTGCAGTACCTGTGTTTTTACAAGGCGTCTCCGAACTTCGTGACAAGCATTAATAATATTCGTAATTATAACATTTTAATAAAACGATTTTATTATATTTTAAAATCACAATGGAACAAGTATGTACTGATATATAATATAAAGGATTTATAACAATGTAAAAAATTAACAATTATGACTCAATATCTTCTAAAGTTTTGCAAAAAAAGATGCGCTTCTGGAACGGTTGAAAAACGAGCTGGCGGTTTTAACAGGGCCGATGTCTACAGACGAGTCAAATGAGGAGGAGATGAGGAGCAGCGTCAATATTTGGGTACCTTCCGCATTTTTAACAGGTTTAAAACTATTAAGAAAATTAACTATCAACTATTGAATTTAAATGCCTTAGGATCTGGATCAAGTTCTCACCATGCATGTTTACCAAATATTCCTGAGAGCTGGAAACGATGAATGGAACATTTATAGGCGATACGCGCAATTTTACGCTCTTCATACGGATTTGAAAAAATTAGACCCTGTAGTGGCCACATTTGATTTTCCACCGAAGAAAAGCATAGGGAAAAAAGTAATTATCAAAAACATTATTTTTACATCTAATATTCATTTTATTTAGGATTCCGCTTTGGTACAAGACAGGCGCAAACGCCTTCAAATATATTTGAGAAGAGTTTTAGGACATTGGCCTGAATTATCTCACTGCAATAGTAGATTTTTGCTGGAGCAACATTTGGCTTTCTTTAAGTAAGATTTTAATTTGAAATCACAATAAAATTTTAATCAATATTTTTTAGGGAAGTGAAGGAAGATCCAAAAAAGAAAAGTGTTTTTTCGTCGAGAAGGAGCGGCCCAAATGATAATCATTATACAGGGCTTTAATAATTGTATGGTTTAGTTGAATTTTAATTTTAAACTACATTAACAAATATACAAGTATTCTGGTTACTAGATGCAACATTATCGCTGGAACGAATATTTTACTACTTATAAGTAGTAAAATATTCGTTCCAGCGATAATGTTGCATCTAGTAACCAGAATACTTGTATATTTGTTAATGTAGTTTAAAATTAAAATTCAACTAAACCATACAATTATTAAAGCCCTGTATAATGATTATCATTTGGGCCGCTCCTTCTCGACGAAAAAACACTTTTCTTTTTTGGTATAGTATATATATAGTATACTCATCCTAAGTATATTTTTATGTAAATACTCAACTATTTTTTATGAAATGTATTGTTTTAATTTTAATATAACAGTTTATAGATTTTAAAAAAATTGGGTTTTATTTTCTACATGCGGCTTTTTGAAACCGTGGTTGTCAAAAAAGCAAATTTTTTAATTTTTTTAAAACCAAGTTTTGGAGTATCAATTCAATGTAAAACTTGCTCTCATAGAAGGACACTCGTTTCTTTTAATTGCTGCAGTACCTGTGTTTTTATTAAGGTACAAGGTGTTACAAGCATTAATAATATTAGTAATTATAACATTTTAATAAAATGATTTTATTATATTTTAAAATGACAATGGAACAAGTATGTACTGATATATAATATAAAGGATTTATAACAATGTAAAAAATTAACAATTATGACTCAATATCTTCTAAAGTTTTGCAAAAAGATGCGCTTCTGGATCGGTTGAAAAACGAGCTGGCGGTTTTAAGAGGGCCGATGTCCACAGACGAGTCAAATGAGGACTAGATGAGGAGCAGCGTCAATATTTGGGTACCTTCCGCATTTTTAACAGGTTTAAAACTATTAAGAAAATTAACTATCAACTATTGAATTTAAATGCCTTAGGATCTGGATCAAGTTCTCACCATGTTTACCAAATATTCCTAAGAGCTGGAAACGATGAATGGAACATTTATAGGCGATACGCGCAATTTTACGCTCTTCATACGGATTTGAAAAAATTAGACCCTGTAGTGGCCACATTTGATTTTCCACCGAAGAAAAGCATAGGGAAAAAAGTAATTATCAAAAACATTATTTTTACATCTAATAGTCATTTTATTTAGGATTCCGCTTTGGTAGAAGACAGGCGCAAACGTCTTCAAATATATTTGAGAAGAGTTTTAGGACATTGGCCTGAATTGTCTCACTGCAATAGTAGATTTTTGCTGGAGCAACATTTGGCTTTCTTTAAGTAAGATTTTATTTAATTTTAAATCACAATAAAATTTTAATCAATATTTTTTAGGGATGTGAAGGAAGATCCAAAAAAGAAAAGTGTTTTTTCGTCGAGAAGAAGCGGCCCAAATGATAATCATTATACAGGGCTTTAATAATTGTATGGTTTAGTTGAATTTTAATTTTAAACTACATTAACAAACATATAAGTATTCTGGTTACTAGATGCAACATTATCGCTGGAACGAATATGTTACTACTTACTCATCCTAAGTATATTTTTATGTAAATACTCAACTATTTTTTATGAAATGTATTGTTTTAATTTTAATATAACAGTTTATAGATTTTAAAAAATTTGGGTTTTATTTTCTACATGCGGCTTTTTGATACAGTGGTTGTAAAAAAAGCATATTTTTTATTTTTTTTTGAAACCAAGTTTTGGATTATTAATTCAATGTAAAACTCTTTTAATAGCTGCAGTACCTGTGTCTTTTATAAGGTACAAGGTGTAGCTCTGTGAAAGGACAAGCTGAAAAACACATAATATTTGTAATTATAACATTTTATTGTATATTAAAATCACATGGAACAAGTATGTACTGATATATAATATAAAGGATCTATAACAATGTAAAAAATTAACAATTATGACTCAATATCTTCTAAAGTTTTGCAGGCTTCCAACAAATGATGAACTATCTTGTACTCAGGTTGGTCTTCTAATAAACAAGTGAATGCCTGGTTGGTTAGGCTTGTAATCGATTGGAGTGAACTTGGAGAGCACCACTCGCCATCCTAAAATAAATAAAAAATTGCATATGGGTCTTTCCATCTCAAATCGACCAGACCAGGTCGTTATTTTTCAACGAATTTTTTGTTCCAGTTTCTCCACCGAAATCGATGAAACCTGTATTTTTTCTTTTTGCCTAAATTTGTTTTGTTTACCTGTAAGAAATTTTTGAAAAATGCACAGAAACCCCGATTTTTCTCTTTTTATGAGTGACATTTTTTCTTGAAAATGTGATAACTTGGCCAAAATGTTATCGTTACAATTTTTTTTAATACAACATACAAAAAAAATATATTAAAAATTAAGTGGAATTAGTCATTTTTTTTCTAAAAAAGGCAAAAAAAATTGAGGTCAAAATTTTAAAATTGACACATTTTTTACTTTTTATTTTTTTTCGTTTAAAGTTGATAATATGAACTTTCACCCAAAGTCCCAAATTGGCTAAATTCGTCCATTTGAAAATATTTATAAAGTGTAGTTTAGAACTTTTTGACATATTTAACATATTTTTGTCACGGAAATGCTCTTAAGTAAGTAAATTAAATTATTAAATATTTGAGAGCAAAATGTAAATTCTTAATTTTTTTGCATGTGTTACTTTTAAAAGATCTAAAAACTATACGTAGTTAATTTTGGTTAAAATAATAAAAACCAAGTATTACCTACATACCTAAAAGTAATGAATCGAATGCATAAGAAACTTTTGATTGGTTAACAGATATGAGTGAGGCAGTCGCGAAACTCTTTTTGACTGAGGCTCTATCAGGAAGGTATTAAGGTATTAAGCCTAAGAGGTCCAGAATCTAATGCGCAAGTTAATTATGTTTAGATATAACAATGTTTTTTTCATATTTCATATATTTTTTTTTATTTATTGCCCAGAGATAACCTACAATGGCCACACTATGGAGCGGTTAGATATAAATTTTTATAATCGTTTTATAATATTTAAATGATTTTATTTGGTAGTTTTAAAACCAAAAAATGTTGAGCAATTACTTACACCCCTTTGATTCTAACCACATCAATTATTATTTTTATTTTATTAAAGAACTAATGTCATAAGACAAAAGGTCTTATGACATGAGTTCTTTATGCTATTTTATCTATTTTGCAAAAATTCTATAAAAAAATTAATTGCCTGAAAAGTCTCGTAAGTACTAGAAAAATCATAAAAATATTATAACCAATATGCAAAATATTATGCAGTTTAAAGTATAGCCAACATATAAAATCAAAATTTTGGGTGGGATAAAGTATCTTATTACAGCACCGAAAACGGTTTTATAATGAAGTCATTATGAACGCAAAATAGATAAAAGTATAAAATTATATTTTCTCCAGACTACTTGGCCCAACATGAAGCAGAAAAGCCAATTCAAGACACTCTAGATAGAGAAATAAAATTTAATAAATAAATGATTTTCTCGATTTTTATGTAAGAATGTCATATTCTCGCACGCAAAATCGTTGAAGAATGAAGCTCATTCTTAAACGATTTTTGGTAACATTTAGTTTTTAAGTATTGGTACCCCCAAAATGTCAAACTGTTTAATAACCTCAAATTCATTACTTTTAGGATTATTTATAATAGCTTTGTTTGTTATCCTGCACTAGTGCAACCTGAACTACACTTTTATTGAAAATGAAGCCTTTTAATGCAAAATTTTAAGTTTAATGTGAAAAAGTGCAGTTCAGGTTGTACTTGTGCAGGATAACAAATATTGTCATTTTGTGTTGCCAACTGACATTTTGCGAGAAAAATCCCCCAACTAACAACGACCACAAAACAATTAAAAAAACCTAAATAAAAGTTAAAATCGAGAAAATAGTATAAATCACACGTTGCAGAAGGCTATTCTCGCACTCATTCGTTCGTCCACTCGCTCCTTCGTCGCTCGAGGCCAAATTTCGAATTCGTGCGAGAATATGTGGCCTTCTGCAACTTGTACTTTAATATACTATTACATGTCAAAAATTGACAAATGACATATGTATTTATTCAAAATCTTATTTTGAATAAAATATGTAAAAACGCATAGGGTGTTTCATTAAAAAATAAAAAGTTAAGACCATTTCCGGTGAAACCGGAAATGTCAAAAATATCTTAAATATGTCAAAAAGTTCTAAATTACACTTTATAAAGGTCACCCCAGTTTCATGACCCTAGATGAAATACCAAATTTTTTCGATGAACCACAAATTTACTGGAAAATGGGATTTTCATTAAAAAAAAATTACGAAACGAATAATTTAGCCAACTTGGGACTTTTGGTAAAAGTTGTTCATATTAACAACTTCAAAGGAAAAAAATGTGGCAATGTCAAAGTTTTTACCTCAATTTTGTTTGCCTTTTTAAGAAAAAACAATTTAAAAAAATTGAGTCAATTCACTTATTTTTTTATATTTTTTTGTAAGTAGTAAACATTTATCTAGAATTTACAAAAAAATTGTAACGATCGAAACATTTTTGGCCAAGTTATCGCATTTTCAAGAAAAAAAAGTCACCCGTAAAAAAAAATTGATGTTTTTGTCCATTTTTCAAAAATTTCCTACAGGTGAACAAAACAAATTTAAGCAAAAAGAAAAAATATGGGTCTCATCGATTTCGGTAGAGCAATTTCGTTAAAAAATAACGACCCACTCCTTTTTGCCTGATTGATTTAAGATGAAACATTTTGGAATAAGATTTTTAACAACATACCAAAGTATCTAAATATCTCGTCAAAACTGGACTGAAAGCGGAAATATTCTCGCTTAATTTGGGAGATGACGAAAGGTACTGCGACATCCTTTTTCCAGCCACAGTTAACAACTGCTTCCCCAACTCACTTCTATTATTTATTGCTGGCAATAACTCCTCCCCAAACAAATCGAAACCGCTGGAATACAATTGAACTACTTGATATCTTCGTAGTAAGTCGACATCTATATTCCATAACCTTGCCAGATCCAAACACTTCGAAATCCATTTAACATGCTCGGCCGAGTAAATTTTCCCGTTCTCGTCTATCGTGACACTTTCCAGACTTACCGTGATTATGTTAAGCAAAAATTTCGTCCTTGCATCGTTTAGTTTGAGGTCCGATTTGTTGTACGTTATTTGAACCGACCTTTGCATGTCGGTGAAAAAGAGGATTCCTATTGAGCCTTCAAACAAGTTATTTACAGGCTTGGAATGCTTCACGGCGAATCTCGTGATCATATTCAAAGTGACGCTGAGCTGATAGTGTAGATGTAGCAGGTCGTAGTTGACATCTTTTTGATCGGCGGCCAATTGGACTAGAGGTTGACTGCCGTTCTCCCAAATGGGCTCGAAGGTCAGACTCAACTTGGGCTCCTTGTAGGTTTTCTGGGCTGTGTCCATAAACGAATCGAAAAACTCGGTGCATATACTAAGGAAAGAGGCTATTTGGTAGTCTGTTAAACCGGTGTCTTGCCTACAAAGCCGTTCTTTGGGAAGTTTGCCGACTTTGTTGATCAACTTGCAGGCACTTTCGTACACGATTTTTAAATGCGTGTTCCACAGCAAGTTGAAGAGGCCGTGTCTTATTTTTACGTTGGGTACAATTTCAAGGGATTTTATTGCGGCCTCTAGCAGCGTTAAATTCGGCATATCTTTTTGCCAGGCTAAGGCATACTCCCAGCATATATTTGCTAGTAAATTGCTCGTTTCTAGGCTATAGGGAAACTGGGTTTTAAGCTTATTAATGTGGTCGAATACAGGCTGGGCTCTAACGTACTCTATTTCTTCCAGAGTGTATTCTTCGTAAGTTAAGCTGCCGGATTCCCGATCTTCTATAGTTTTTTGATAGATGTAGTCGTTTATTGTGATGTTTTTCGGGTTTATCCCGCATTTGGTCAACCATTGGGCCACCAGTTCGCTGACAGACCCTCTACCTTTATGTAGAATGTACTTCAAACTAACGTCCACTTTATCGTGCTTTAATTTTGGCAGCGGACAATCGCTTGCTATGGGATTGGTCGACAAAATGATGTTTAACAACGAAACATCCTCCAATTTACCGATGAGTATCGACCATTGAATATTCTCTTGGGACAGAACTTCGATGTTTTCCTCAAGACTGGCCACAGATTCGTCCAACTCGTTTTCCCGTTCGTACTTTTGCGCTATGTTTTTACACAACATGGCCGCCGTTAGGGCTGGGAACGGTCGCGTCGAATTCAGAAGGATTTCGCGGACTATCGACCAGAATTTCGAAGTCGAGTTGTAGTCGGTCAATACGTTTTCTTTATTCTCTGCTTTGACGATGTGGTAGATAAGCGACGATAGATTTTCCATTTCTTTTTCCATATTTAAATGCAGGTACAAGTTTCTATTCTCCCAGTAATATACGAGAAGATAGAAGAAATCTTTTATGCAAATTTTACTCTCGGTTAATTCCTGCTGTAGGTCCTTAAAATTGCATGATTTTCCGCTTATAAAGTGTTTAAACCCGATTTCAGACGCCTTCAGTAATTGCGGATCCTCCAAGTTGGGCTTTAAGGTTATTTCATCCGGGTTTGTCAGGTTAAAAACCGATATATAATCTTGCAAAGAATTAGTACTTTCATCGGCAAAATTCACTTTAACCTCATTCTGCTTGGCGTTATCATTAGAAGCATTCAAATCCAATAACTTCTGAAGATTGCTCATTTCTTTATCACCCAAGTGCAGCGCCGTATCGGCTTTAATTTCCTCCTCGTTTCCGTTTAGAGAGTCCATACTGTCGGTGGCGTCGAGAAACAAGAAAAACTTGAGCAGGCTGCAGGCGTTGTTGACTAGCGTTCTAAAACTATTGCTATCCTCCGCTTCAGACTCAGTTTCGAACTTGTCGGAAAAAAATTGAACACATTGTAGGGATATCTCCGTGGGAACGTCCTTGCTGTTGAACAGCATTTCGACCGTTTGCAGGCGTATTTCCGGCGTTTTCAGCTCCGCGCAGGTGCTTTGGACTTCCGCGCTCAGCCTGTCGAAATCGAAATCGCCGGATTTTACGAGGGCGCGCAGCTTTTTGTACAGGTGTATGTCCTTGGCGCGTTTGTTGTTTTTCTCGGTCAAGGCGAAGTGGAACGGTATCATTATTTCCTTTATTTGCCCGTCGTTATCCACGAATATGGTCGTGTACTGGCAAATGTACTTGGATTTGGACGTCGTCAAGAACCCCATCAGGCCGTAGTTGACGTACAAAAGTCGGCTGTTCTTCGACGCAGTGAACGTGGCTATTTTCGTGCCCTGCTGCGCAGAAAAAATCTCCAACGTGCCCTTTTTGGCCGAGTAGACGACCAGAAACAGCGCCACCCTGTTGCCGATCTTAAATTTACTCTTCCTTTCATCGGGCACTTGAATAAAGGACATCTGAGAGTCCCGGTAACCTTTGAACATCCTCAGAGTCACGCCCCTAAATGAATCAATCAAAGACACGCGACCCAGCGCGTCTGCGACAGCTGCTAATTTACGGTCGGGCGATAAGAGAACAGCGAGCCCAGTCCTGCGTATGTCGCAGAGCCCAAAACGGCAGCCCATCGCTTCTGCGGGCTGCATCGCGGTTGTCATCTGTTTCTCCGCCGGGGCTTTGTTGCCAGTTATCCAACCCCTAAACGAAATGAAAAGTATGTTTAAGGGCACTTAATGATGAATTCAGGTTTTTAAAAATGTAAACGCAATATATCTTTAAAAACATAAAAATTAATAAAAAGAAAATGATAACAAGGTAAAACTAGGACAAGATTAAATTGTGACAAGCTAAAATGATGACAAGCTAAAAAATGACTATAAAATGATAACAAGCTAAAACAAGGACAAGATAAAATTGTGACAAGCTAAAATGGTAAAAAGGAAAAATAATAAAAAGTTAAAAAATGACAACATTAAAAGAAGACAAGCTAAAAAATTACTATAAAATAATAACAAGCTTTAGCTTGTTTTAACAAGGACAAGATAAAATTGTGACAAGATAAAAAATGACTATAAAATGATGGCAAACTAAAATAAGGGCAAGATAAAATTGTGACAACCTAAAATAAAAACAACATAATATAATGAAAAGCGAAAACAACAATAAGATATAATTGTAAAAAAAATAAATTGATGACAAACTAAAACAAGGACAAGATAAAATTGTGACAAGCTAAAATGATGACAAACTAAAATTATAAAAAAACTAAAATGATGACAAGCTAAAACAAGAACTAGATAAAATTGTGAAAAGCTAAAATGATGGCAAGCTAAAACAAGGACAATATAAAATTGTGACAAGCTAAATTGATAACAAGCTAAATCGAGGACAATATAAAATTATGGCAAGCTAAATTTTTTTTTAATGATGACAAGCTAAAAAATGACTATCAAATGATGACAAGCTGAAACAAAGATAAGAAAAACTTGTGACAAGCTAAAACAAGGACAAGATTAAATTGTGTCAAGCTAAAAAATGACTATAAAATGATAACAAGCTAAAACAAGGACAAGATAAAATTGTGAAAAGCTAAAATGGTAAAAAGCAAAAATAATATAAAAAGTTAAAAAATGACAACATAAAATGAAGATAAGCTAAAAAATTACTATAAAATAATAACAAGTTTCAGATTATTTGACAAGCTAAAATGATAAGCTAAAAAATGACTATAACATTATGGAAAGACAAGACAAAATTGTGACAATCTAAAATGACAACAACATAACATGATGAGAAGCTAAAATGATGAAATTATAAAAAGCTAAAAAATGACTATAAAATGACTACAACCTAAAACAAGGACAAGATAAAATTGTGACAAGCTAAAATAAAAACAACATAATATAATGAGAAGCGAAAACAAAAATAAGATAAAATTGTAAAAAAAAACTAAATTGATGACAAACTAAAACAAGGACAAGACAAAATTGTAAATAAACTAAAATGACAAGCTAAAACAAGAACTAGATAAAATTGTGAAAAGCTAAAATGATGACAAGCTAAAACAAGGACAATATAAAATTGTGACATGCTAAATTGATGAAAAGCTAAACCAAGGACAAAATAAAATTATGACAAGCTAACATTTTTTTTAATGATGACGTGCTAAAAAATGACTATCAAATGATGACAAGCTGAAACAAAGATAAGAAAAACTTTTGACAAGCTAAAATGACAACCACATAATATGATGAGAAGGTAAAACAAAACCAAGATAAAACTGTAAAGAGCTAAAATGATGACAAGCTAAAACAAGGACAAGATAAAATTGTGACAAGCTAAAATGACAACATAAAATAAGGACAAGCTAAAAATTTACTATAAAACGATAACAAGCTAAAACAAGGACAAGATAAAATTTTGACAAGCTAAAATGGCAAAAAGCAAAAATAATATAAAAAGTTAAAAAATGAAAACAAAATGAATACAAGCTAAAAAATGACTATAAAATAATAACAAGCTTTAAAGCTTGTTTTAACAAGGACAAGAAAAAATTGTGACAAGCTAAAATGATAAAAAGCTAAAATGATGACAAGGTAAAAAATGACTATAACATTATGGCAAGACAAAATTGTGACAATCTAAAATGACAACAACATAACATGATGAGAAGCTAAAACCAGAACAAGATATTATTGTAAAAAGCTAAAATGACGACAAGCTAAAATAAGGACAAGATAAAATTGTGACAAGTTAAAATGATAAAAAGCTAAAAAATGTCTATAAAATGATGACAACCTAAAACAAGGACAAGATAAAATTATGACAAGCTAAAATAAAAACAACATAATATAATGAGAAGCGAAAACAAAAATAAGATAAAATTGTAAAAAAACTAAATTGATGACAAACTAAAACAAGGACAAGATAAAATTGTGACAAGATAAAATTGTAACAAGCTAAGATGATGAAAATTTTTTATCATTTTAAAATTAGAGCTACTGTTTTTTAATAAAAAATTTATGATTTTTTTTTTGACAAATCCAAGTCCGATGATATTATTCATCCAAGCAAAAATAAACATGTATGCGCACAATGTATTATGTAATATTAAGCAAACTTTTAAACTTATTCAAAATCGGTTAGTAGGTACATTCTATAAAAGGAAAAATATATTTAGTATTGTTAAAAGCGAGGCGGAATCACATATTTAGAGTACTTATGAATATGGGGGCAGAATACATATATGGGTATTTTTTTAAATATTAGGTAGGTACTTACGGTAAAGCAGATTTTAGCTTGCTTGCTACAGCCTTTGCGACGTCACTGAAGACAGGTTGTGCCCCCCCTTCAAGGGCGTAATGGTACCCAACATAAGGCTTGGACCCAGCAGCCACAACCAGAGTATTGTGTGGTGCCATGGCCCTATACTTTGTGTCAAAACCACCACAAGTTGATGCGGTCAATAAATGATCAAAAGTACTAGCCAAATTTAGGCCTACAACTGCAGAATCATTTATACTGGCTTGGTCCTGAAAGTAGAGATGTTACATTTCACATTTTATATTTTTTTCCAAACTTAAGGTTGGTACTTATTAGTAAGTAGGTACCATAATATGCTAGTTTTTTTGCCATTGGGAATTTTTTTCTGCACTCTCTGCCAAAAAGTAGTGGCAGAGAAATGCTACATTTAATAAATTATGAAATGTTAAGAATTTTGCATTATATATCACAATTTTAATTATAATATGATTTTCTTGTGTTGAAACTAACAAATAATAAGAAATTCAATTTTTTTGCATTTCCTATTACTTTATTATTAATAAACACTCTTTAAGACTTCATGTTTTTGACACTGCTAATGTATTTTTGTTTTGTAATCAAGTTTAATATTATCTAGTTAAAGAAAAAATAATATAAATAATAAATAAAATATAAATAATAAATAAAACAATAATTATTGACAGAATATCACAGACAAACATTGTTTATAAACCAAAATTTTATCTATGACACTGTGCAGAATATACATGTAAATTTTTGACGTCAAATTTCGAATAAAAAAAAACAGTACTGCAGTACTGTTTTTTTTATGCGAAATTTGACGTCAAAAATTTGGGGGTTTAGTTGGCAAATTCTAGGAACCCTAAATTTATAACTGTCTATATTGAGTAGAACAAAATTATTTAGTGGATATAGGCAGCACAAATTATTATTATTATTTCATTGAAATGCTGTTTTGTTTTTAAAATTTCTTTTTTTTTAGAACTTTGTTATTTTTGGCATTATTAATTAGGCATAATTTTAACTTTTAAATAAAAATGTCAAAGTATAATTAAAGCATGATACAGAAGCAACAATTTTAAATATTAAAAATACCAAAGTATATTTATATACATGTATATAAATATACTTTGGTATTTTTAATATTTAAAATTGGTACTGCAGTCCCAACATAATCAAATATGTGACACATTATGTGTCTAATTACAACAAAAAATTACTTTATTGTGAATTATTGTAGTGGTTAAAAAAGTGTCTATTTAAAAAAATCTACCTGAAAGCCCCATTTCTTAGGGTTAAGGCTTATTTGAGACATGTCCATTGGATCTCCTTTTGCTTGTAGTCTGGCCAGTTGGCTTCGGCAGTTTCTAAGGTTTTGAAATAAAACTGGGCCACTTATTACACACAAATTGCTTTGGTATTGCACATAGATTTCTTCGGGGTGCAATTCGGATGATATATCAGGTCTAGGACTATGCTGTGATTGGCATTTTATACTCGTTATGTTTTCACAGTGTAATTGTTCTTCAAATAAAAGCTCATGGTTTTCTGTATAAAATCTTACAAAACCTGAGTCATAACCTATCATGATACATGTCCAATCTGGTCCAACCTACAAACATTTATTTAATCAGATTTTTGTTGCCTAGCTTAATTAAAAACTTACATGGGAACTCTGGCTTTGCCCCACAATTGGCAAACAAATAACAGCCTTAATTTTGTCATATTCATGGGCTGACCCCGAATAGCTTATTTGAAATTGACTTAGCGATAAACTTGAATCCCACTTTGAAGTTAAAACAACTAATCTTCTTTCCTGTGCAATTGCAATTATATCACCTGTTGGAGAGGCTGATATTTCGCAATTTTGTAACCAACTATCACCACCTAAAATACCTTATGGCGTTATTTAACCGTTTATATAACTTAATTATACCTCTATTGTCGTCAGTGGGAAATAAACATCTTCTTATAGCTGTTATGTCATGTATATTGGCTGTCACTCGTATTTGACAAGACATTTCATTAAAACTTGACCAATTTTGTTATTTTGACGTTTTCACATCTGCTAAACTTTGTTTTGATATTGATCGGTAATGCAGATTACATTTTATAATCCCCAATGCCATGCCGTCATAAATCAACTCTTTATTTTAAACATAACTTTTAAATTGAAAGGAATTTAGTTATAATAATAAAATTTGAATGTGATTTTATTACGTTGTATGTTTTTACAAAGAAACAAACTATGAATAGAAAGAATAACTATAAAAATAAGAAAGGTCTGGCAACGCCACAAAATAATGCAGAAACCCATACGTAATTAAAGTAGTTATCGACTTTCCCGAAAGAGTGCGCGTCGAAGAAACTGACAGATCAAGCGATTTGTAAATAAAAGCTTGTATTTTTTTCTAAATAGCGTGTATTGTCTTTTTCTAATGTCTTCTACGATGCCTGTTAAGAAAAAGGTAATATTTACACCTAATTTATTATTATTTTTGTATATAATTGTTGTTTTAGGCTGAGAGTTCTACTGAATCATCTTCGGGATCGAGTTCGGATTCTTCATCAGGGTCTTCATCATCTTCGAGTGGTTCTGACTCTTCGTCTTCTAGTGATAGTGAATCTACCACCTCTCAGGATTCCAGCAAACCACAGTCTGGAACAGAAAGTAAAAAAACAGCAACAGTACAGAAAAACCCGAGAAAAAGTACAGACGACACAAAATCGACCCCACAAAACAAAGTGAACGAAAAACATGGCGTGAAATCAAAACATGCGCCTGCTAAAGCTGCAAAGCCATCACAGAAACCAGTGGAAGAGACCAGCGAAGAAGATAACGAGAAAACTGAAAAAAGGAAAAAGAAGGCTGCAGTGAAACCAAAAACATCTGCTACTGTTGTAACTAAGGCCCTAGCAGGTAAACTTAATGCACACAACAAACAACAAGCACCTAAAACGGGTAAAACACCCCCAGTCAAAAAAGAACAATCCAATAAAAGTAAGCAATCCAGAAATTCAAACTCCAGCAAAAATAACGACGCAAGCAAAAAGAAAAGCATATTTTCGCCTGAGAATAGCTCTGCAGAGTCTGATGCAGGTAAAGGGGAGGGTAAACAAAAAACACAGGGTAAAACCCCTAAAGCTAAGCCAGAACCTAGACCCAAAGCAAATGCAAGGACAGTGGAAAAACCTAAACCTAAGAAAGTTGAAAAGCCGCAACCTAAATCCAAGGCCATTATTAGCTCTGCCAGTTCAGCTTCATCCTCCACAGCTTCTAGCAGCTCGGACAGCGAAAGCAGTGCAGAATCTTCGGCCAAAGAGGAGAGAAAGGTTGTGAAGAAGCCGGTGAAAAAACCCACGGTGGTGCCTAAGGAGAGCGTTGTTAATTCCGACTCGGAGAATGATAGTCCCGGCAAGAAGCAGGTTACCAGGAAGTTGACTAGGTCTGCAAGTACGAGGAAGTCCAAGCATGTTTTGGGGAAGAACGTTTATTCGGATACGGACTCGGATACTGAGAGCACCAAGAGGTCTTTGAGTAGGTCGCCGGTCAAAAGGGCGCCGGTTTCCACCACCAAAGGAAAAACCAAGAATAATAAGAGGAATGACGCTAAATCTAGGAGCGAGTTGATACATGTGGAGGAGAGGAAATGCCCTTTGGAAGGGTGTGATAGTTTGGGGCATTTGACTGGGCTGTATGATAAACATTTTACTTTGGAGGCTTGTCCTTCGTACCATAACTGTACGATAGCTTTCTGTAGAGAGGAGTTGAATGATCGGAAAAAAAGGGAGGAGCAGCGCAGGAAGGCTGCGGAGTTCCACAAGAAAAGCCCCAGACCGCATGCTAGTCAAGATCAGAAGAACTATCTAAACAAGATAAGGGATTTGAGGGCCAAATTCAAGGCCGAGCCAATGGAGGATTCCAAGCGTGTTGTGGATAAAACGCGGGAGCCCGATTTGACGAACTTCGTTTCCGAGTACGATTTGAAGTTGTTCAGGGACGCGCAGGTAGGGTTGGGGCAGTTGAAATTTTCAAATGAAAATTTCAACTTTGAAAGTTTCAAACTTGAAATATTTCATTTAGTTGGAAAAGTGAAATTTTTTAAAATTTCAAATAAAATTTTCAATCCGAAAATTTCAACATTGCCTGTGAAACTTTCAGAAATTTCATTGAAAGTTTCGCAATTTACTGAAAATTTCGCATAAATTTCACATGCGGCCTCCCCTGGAACCTTTAATAATAATTTAAAACAGATTCCGAATCGACCAATAAGACCGAGTTATCAAGCGGCGTTTTTGTTACTTATATTGTTACTAATTTAATTTGTAAATAAAAATTTTTTAAAAGTCATGATTAATTTAAACTTTTACTTTTGCTATAATTGCATCTGAAAACGGATAAAAAATGCCTTTGGCTCATAAAATTTTGATGAAGTTTCTTCAATTTTCGTAAAATTTCAGTAAAATATATAAAAAATAATAAATATATGTATATAAATATAAAACAATGAAAGTGGCACAATCTCATTAGCTTACCAAAAATTGCTATATCTCTTTTAGTTTTAGTAATTTTAAAAATATTTTAAAAGGAAATCTCAAGAAATTTGTGGTAAACATAGGTATTTACTATATACTATATACAGGGTGTTATGTAATTAATGTTATATATTAAAATACTGAATACCTTTTGACATAAGGAATAAAGGAAAAATATTTTAAAAAGCATTTTTCCAAAGATAAAGAAAAAATATGCATTAGAAGTTTTTTATATTTTTTGTGATACGCCACTGGTCACACACTTGTTTATCTCTGCACACCTGTATTTTGTGAGTACATAGATACCAACCAACAAAGTAGCTATGCGTTGCCAGATGTAAAAAATTGTTACTAAAAATTTTTCTTGCAAAAAATAAATAAAAACTCAATAAATACAAAAGTTTTATGCCCTTAAAGCTCTAATACCCTTCTGTATTTATTTACTGATCCAGCTATTAGCTTAAGCAATGATTAGAAAATTTAGTACCTTTGAAATTTGAAATCCATAACCACAAAATTAATTTTTTCATCAGTTTTTTTCTTTGTTTACTCAGATGAAATTGGGACCAGTTCACAGGTTAAACTTTAAACATTTAATTTGTGTAAATAAATCCAAAAGCACTTCCCTTAGTTAAGATATTTACAATTTGAAAACATAACCTAAAATTTAAAAGAAATGCACTAGATTCTGTCATAAAAGTTGGCAGATTTTGTTTGAATTTACCTTCAGTACAAAAATGAAATAACCAACAATTAATAAAAACGCCAAATTGACAATTTGCATTGTTAATTTTGTCATTTTTGTAATTAAGCTAAATTTAAACAATGTTTGACAACTTTTTTGAGAGATTTTGGAAAAACTGTTGTTACCAACCATAACATAATAAATCCACCAGATTAACCTAAAGTTCCTAGTCGATCAGTGGCGTACTTTTTGGTAGGATAAAGGTTATTATAAATTATTTTTAGACTTTGGAATTTAGAAAAAAAAAGTTTCAGGTGCTTCTTTATGGACCCTAAGGAACACTCCATTTTAATATATAACATTAATTACATAACACCCTGTATATTATTGGTGGTCAGAGGGGTAGGAGGTAAGAGAGGCAATTTACCATGGTCACCGAGTGGGCTTATTTCAGTATTAATATATTACACTTAAAGTAATTGAAATTTATTGTAAGTTTCAATAAATTTCATAAATTTCATGAAATTTCATAAATTAAGGAAATTTAAATAAATTTCATAAATGTCATGAAAATTTCAATTGAAATTTTAAGTACAATCAAAAAGTGAAATTTTCCCATCTCTACGCGCAGGCTCTGGCCAGCGAGAAAATCGAGGAGGACCTGAAGCTGCAGCCGAGCACCAAGGGCACGAAGTACATGGAGATGGGCAAGTTCGAGATGGAGGTCTGGTACCAGAGCCCCTATCCCGAGGACTACGCTCGCCTGCCCAAACTCTACATCTGCGAGTACTGCCTGCGCTACATGAAGTCGCGCACGATTCTCGAGAGGCACGTGTACAAGTGCGTTTGGAGGCACCCGCCCGGCGAGGAGGTCTACCGCAAGGAGAAGATCAGCGTGTGGGAGGTGGACGGGAAGCGTTACAAGCAGTACTGCCAGAACTTGTGCTTGCTGGCGAAATTTTTCCTCGACCACAAGACCCTCTACTACGACGTCGAGCCGTTCTTGTTTTACGTGATGACGATGGTGGACAACGAGGGGTGCCACACGGTCGGATACTTCAGCAAGGTGAGTCGATTTCTTTTGTTTTGGCGCCAATGTTAGAAGCGACATCTATCTTTTCGCGTTTGAGGTTGTAGTTTGGCGTTCATTGCATAGATGTCGCATGATGGCTTATCTGTTATTTACATTGTGAACAGTGTTGCCAGATTGGGCGATTTATCACAGATTGGGCGATTTTTAACTCGCACTGGCGACCATAATGCCCGTATGCACCGTTTTAAAGCCTAAGCCTAGTTGGCAAATCGAGATTATGTTAATCTTTCTCCATCATAATGCACCGTACGCGGATTGTGCAATCTGGATTGGAGATTTGGCAAAGCTGTTTTATTTGCCAAAAAAACCACAAAAAACTGTCAATCATAATTTCAAATCGATTGACAACCATAGAGAAACAAACTATGTTGACTAGAATTTTGTTATATGCCTAATACACAATAGATTTTATATAGATCATCCTTCGTCTGTCTATAAAATGGGAGACCAGAATTCCTAACCAAAGTAATCAATTTGGTTAGAAAATCAGTTAATACTGCGATTAAACCTACCTCGCCGGTGGATCTCGTAATCGAACACTTAAACTACATTTTTCGCGCGGTGCATGACAAACTTTCGAACTAAGCGAGATTAAACTCTTAATCGAGCTTAAGTCCATACGGTGCATACGGGCATAAATTTACAAAAATCACAAGTCGCCATTTGGGCGATTTTCGGCGCTAGACCGGCGTCAGACCCAAGGAGGGTAAAATAATTCTCCTTGACTCACCAAAGCTATGATCGGAATAATATAAATAGGTTCATCGACATAAAACATATGTTTTATGTCGATGGTTAATGCGAAATTGCGAACGTACTGCACTGTTGGGACTTAGCGCTCAAATTTCGCGGCAGAATAACGAAATTTGTAAATAAAAATCATGCGTGAACATGTTTAGTTATTTTTTTATTTTACTAGTAAAATTCACAAAAAAATGTACTTATAAAAAACTGGCGACTTTTACTTTATTTTGGCGACTTTCGCCGCCTCTGGTGGCGACATGAAATAAAAAAAATAAAAAAAATTATAGTTTACAAAATCGAAAAAAAAATCTGTCCACCATATCCCATTATAATTTTTCCATGTATTTTGACCCACTAAACACTAAAATGATTTTAGTAAAATCACACTCAATTTTTTTTATCAAAATCACACTCAATTTTTTTTATCAAAGCGTTTTTAAAATATGAATTTTCAATTGTTTTTTTTTTCAATTTTCTGAGGTGTTTTGACGTTTTTGAGTATAGCTTGAAATCTAATTGATCAATTTGGCCAAACAAGCCCTTAAGGTATTTGAGCCGTCTAAAACTTTCTTTTACATACTTTTGATAAGTATTTTGACGCTAGCGATTTTAATAACTTAAAAAATTCGTTTTTATGGCTAAATTGATGTCGAAACTTTACATATCATCCTGGGAAGGGTTTAAATCTTATAGATAAATCCAGTTTGAATTTTTTCGTGAAGCTGTAATTTTTACAAAAAACAAGCTAATATTGATAAAAATACATAGAAAAATGGCGAAGTTATGAATTTTTTAGTGGAAGACCAAAATTCAGCTTTTTGACGATTTTTATTTTATTTTGTAATATATTTATTCTCTAATGAAAACCTAAGTAAAGTGCCCTGATTGGAATTTTTTGAGTTTTTTACGTACAGTACGGTACTTTACTATTACATTATAGTTTACAAAATCGAAAAAAAAATCTGTCCACCATAATATAAATAGGTCGTCATCGACATAAAACATATGTTTTATGTCGATGGTTAATGCGAAATTGCGAACGCACTGCAATGTCGGAACGTAGCGCTCAAATTTCGCGGCAGAATAACGAAATGTGTAAATAAAAATCATGCGTGAACATGTTCAGTTATTTTTTTATTTTACAAGTAAAAATTCACAAAAAAATGTACTTAAAAAAAACTGGCGACTTTTACTTTATTTTGGCGACTTTCGCCGCCTCCGGTGGCGACATGAAATTTTTTTATCTGGCAACACTGATTGTGAACACTAGACTATTACATTATAATTTACAAAATCGAAAAAAAAATCTGTCCACCATATCCCATTATAATTTTTCCATGTATTTTGACCCACTAAACACTAAAATCCCACTCAATTTTTTTTATGGAAGCGAAGTTTCTGAGGTGTTTTGACGTTTTTAAGTATAGCTTGAAATCTAATTGATCGATTTGGTTAAACAAGCCCTTAAATTGAAGGTATTTGAGCCGTCTAAAACTTTACTTTACATACTTTTGATATCGGATAAGTATTTTGACGCTAGCGATTTTAATAACTTAAAAAAAATCGTTTTTATTTAAATCAAACAGATAACTCCAGTTTGATTTTTTTTCGTGAAGCTGTCATTTTTACAAAAAAACAACCTAATATTGATAAAAATACATGGAAAAATGGCGAAGTTATGAATTTTTTAGTGGAAGACCAAAATTCAGCTTTTTGACGATTTTTATTTTATTTTGTAATATATTTATTCTCTAATGAAAACCTAAGTAAAGTGCATGATTGGAATTTTTTGAGCTTTTTACTTACTTTTTTCACCGAAAACATTATTCAAAATTTAAATTTGACATGACTCCGTAAACGTGAATTTTTTTGTTTCTCGTGTTGGCATAGTGACATTTAACTGCTATTTTTTGATATTTCAACAAGGTATTTTTATCATGGTTTTATTTAGTTAATAAAAAAAGTAGAATAAGTAAAAGAAGTAGATTGCGTAAATAACCCGGACAATGACGTAAATGATGAGCACGGAGAACGTTTTCACCAGCAAATGAAGGCTATGGAGCGGCGGTATCACGGCTTCTGGGATGCAGCCATGATGGTTGATTACATTTGGTCCCTCATACGAGAAACGGAATACGAAATCAACAAAAAACAAAGAAGGAGCCAGTATTGTTTTAAACCTATGCTTATTTAAACAAAATAAAACTTTCAATATCTTCAATGTTCAATATTTATTGTTTAATATTCAATATATAATTTAAAATCAATGTTCAATATTAAATTTTATATAATTCAATAAAATTAAGAAAAAACTTAAAAATTCTCAAAAACTGAATTTTAATCTTCCACTGAAAATTTCACAACTTCGCCATTTATCCATGGATTTTTGTCAACAGCAGCTTATTTTTTATAATCTATACGTAAAATAAATCAAACTGGACTTATCTTTTCGATTTCTATCTTTCCCAGAAAGATATGTAAATTTTCGTAAAAAAAGGACTTTTTCCACTTCACAAAATCGTCAGTATCGAACTACTGAGCAGATACCAAAACTATACAAAAGAAAGTTGTAGAGGGCTCAATTACCTTTGATTTAAGTGCATGTTTGGTCAAATCGATCAATTAGAACTCGAAGTATACTCTAAAACGTCTAAAAACAATTTAAAATTCATATCTCGATGAAAAAAAAATTAAGTCTGATTTTCGCGTTTAGTGAGCCAAATTACATAAGAAAATCATGGTTGGCAAAATGGCTGTAAACTAGTGTTATTAGTTGCAGATAATAACAAACTAAATGAAACTTGTAGATTTTAAAATCTGATTTATAAATTAAATTTGTATAATAAATTTTACTAAAATTGGAAGTTTTAACAAATACATTTATTATATTTTTATCCGTAAAAACTAATATACAGGGTGATTCACCCTACTTATTAATGAGAAGTTTATGGAGAACGGAAAAAGATATCGATAGCAATTATAAGGCAATGAACATTTTTTTTAAATTATTTTCAATGCATTATCACTTTCGGTTAAACCGGAAATCTAGAAATACTAAAATTTAACTCTTTATTTTATTTTGAACAGTTTTTGAAATATTTTTTTTTTTTTAAGTATTAACAGATGGATGGTCTTACTAAATTGTCTGTATTACCACTAATTGTAATGTTAAAAAGTTAATTTATGGTGTACATGTTAACTAAGGATCACTATATCCAATTGGGCTTTAAAGCCATTTTAAAATATTATTATTTGAAAATTTTATACAGGGTGTCTGGTGTTTACGTTGATTTTTTTGTCACTTTAAATACCAATAACTTTCTTATTTCAAACAAAACTACCATACAATTTTCACATCATTCGATACAAAATAATGTTTTCTATTGCAGCATTCCCTATACCTAAAATTAATATTTACAGAGATATTACATATATGTAAATATGTATACATGTAAAAAACCGCTTATATTTTTTTATTATTAATATCAGTAGGGTGCATTGGATTGTCTTTTATATGGTATTTAGGAAGTTTCTTTCCATGGTGTTTAAATTTAAATTGAAACAGTTTTTTTTATTATTTATTTTTTTATTACTTGAAGTTTTTTTTATATAAATACATAAACACATAATGTTGATAAAATTCATAAAGTTTTGTTCATTGGGAAAAATCATTGCTTAATTTTTTCCGAACAATGTGGGTCATACTCGTGGAGAGCAGTGGTCGGTTGCTTAGTTACGCTACCGAGAATATTCTTCGACGAATGAAAGGAAGCTTTTATTTGACAGTAAGTGAATGCAATCTAATTATTATATTATGTATAATATTATAATGGCTTACTTTTGCATATAACTAATTAAGGTTTTCTTTACTCAATGAAGATCTATTTTTTAAATTAGTCCCACGGTTATTCATTAAATACCAAGATTTTCGTGTAATCTTATGTTCTGACCTAAAACCAAGTTAAGGTGGTAGAATGTCTTTAATTTAATATATGATTTTATGAGGCATCAGACACATTTTTTACAGCATAGATTTCAGAAAAATACATTTTAAAGTTAAATCTGTTATTTATCAAACTATTCAAATGGAGATACTACCTTATTTTTATTCAAAAATTCGTAGTTCATTGGAAGTTTCTGAGCAACGAAATTTGAAATTTTAAAATGCTTTGTTATTTCAAATAGAACACCCCATAAATTTTTATATATTTAAATCCAGCATAAAATTCTGAGTAAAGTTACTATATAATTTTTGTTCGTTAAAATTTGAAAAATGCGCGTCATAAAAGTCCTATAACTTGCTTGTTATTAGGTTTTTGCAGATATGGCGGTGAAATTTTTGGAATCTTAAAACATTGTTTAAAAGATTCGATGTCAATTTTTAAACATTTTTCAACAATTTACCTAACTAAACCCAGGGCAAATAAGGCTAATTTGAAAGGTTAATAACTTTTTTATTTTAAATGTAACACCCGGTATGTTTTTACTTAATTAAATAGTATATTAAAAAACCTTTCGAATGATAACTATTCTCTATACCTAAAGTTAATAATTTCAGAGATTTTAACAATTTCTAAAATTTTAAATATTATTTTGTATCAAGAAACCTTTGACGGGTGAGTTGAAGGTATCTATGGTTACCACGTAATCTGTCATTGTTTAGAATTTAATGGCGTCAATTTTTCAGGTTATAAACAATTTGTTGACTAATTAAGTGTTTTGTTAACAATATTACTGATAAAAAAAGCAGTCAGTGACTTATAAACGACATTGACAAGCCAAATATTTTAAAAATTTACCATTATCGTACATGTTTCCATGACACTAAGTTACCTTTTAAATACACATTGACAAGTTGTGGCTTTACGGCGTTTTAGTCACGGGTTGAAGTTAGAAACAGGTTTTTAGTCACGGGCTGAAGTTAGTTTTAAGTTAGTTGACAGTTGTCAAATGTCATACAATCGTTAAAATAACATGCCTTTCTTGTAAAATAATACTAAATGTGAAAATTATTTTATTATCTCAATACAAAAGTATTAAATAGTTTCTCAACGCTAATATTTGAAAAGTTTATATGGACATTGTACTGACATTTTAATTTTGCCGGCAGTAAACTATTACTTAAATTCGGGCACGGACTCCACTCCACTTTAAAAAACTGTCCATATTCAAGAAATACATTTCGATTTACAACCTTTATAATCTGTGTTTATAAAATTTAAAAATTTGACATTTGACGGTGACACACAGATTCAAATATTGTTTCATAGATGGCGCTCTATAAAAATAATTGATTTAAATCATTTTAAGATAATAATAAGTATTTGTCGTAGAAAAAGTATAGTATGCACCTCGTTTATAAACTTTTCTATACACTCATTAATTTAAGAACTCGCTCGTGCCTAAATTAAATTCGTGTATAAAATGGCGTTTATCAAACTTGATACATAATATACTATTTACTACTACCATCTTTAAAACGCTTATTATAGTACATGTTTCTAAAAAAAGCAGTCAGTGACTTATAAACAACATTGACAAGCCAAATATTTTAAAAATTTACCATTATCGTACATGTTTCCATGACACTAAGTTACCTTTTAAATACACATTGACAAGTTGTGGCTTTACGGCGTTTTAGTCACGGGCTGAAGTTAGCAACAGGTTGTTAGTCACGGGCTGAAGTTAGTTTTAAGTTAGTTGACAGTTGTCAAATTTCATACAATCGTAAAAATAAAGTTCTTTTCTTGTAAAATATTACTAAATGTGAAAATTAATTTATTATCTCAATACAAAAGTATTAAATAGTTTCTTGAGGCCAATATTTGAAAAGATTATATGAACGTTTAGTGGAGTTAACTAGATTTAAGGTAGTTGTCGTGGTACAATATTGTCAAAAATTTTTAGATTAATTTAATAAATAATAATAATAATTTTTTCGCAAGACTGTACCCTCGAGACTTTACCTTTACGTAATACTTTCAAATATTTTCATAAGTTTTAATCCAGCAACGGCGCTTATGATCAACCAATACATATATTGGAGACTGAATCAGTCTGTTTGAATTTACTGCGGAAATAATATCTATACGCGCGTACAGCGTATAGTTTTTTTTATCTGACACTAGTGATGTGTACTTTTTACAAATTGTTAAACTTTAAACAGTTATTTATAAACAATTGCACGGTCAAAAATTTTTAATTATATTTTTAAAACTCAGCAAAAATACATTAAAATACTGTTAGTTTTTTGAAAGCTTCTGACAGTTAGTTTTTTTTTTATAACTAAGAAACTGGTACAGAACTACAGAAAGCGTATACAATCCATGTTAATTATCCAATTTTTAATTGAATTTATCTCGGGTTATAGACGGTCAATCGACTTCAAATTTTAAGGATAATTGTATTGTCATGTCCTTAATAAGTATACAAAAATTTAATATTTTCTGATGGTATGCTTACAGCACGACAACTACCTTAACTGATAAACTGTATGCATTTTTAATACTTTGTGATAATATTTTGCAATTATAGTAATAAAAAAAATTAAAGGATAGAATATTTTCATAACATATTCATTACAGTTATTTTAATATTTTAATGTACTACGATATTATTTTAATTAAACTTAAAATTATTGATATTTATCAATAATTTTAAGTTTAAATAAAATAATATCGTACAATGTTCATGGTGAAAATTACGTCAAAAATGTTTATTGGAATGGGTACTTTATTTTCGTATAGATGTCCGGTTCAACCGAAAGTGTCATTTTGTTCAAAATATTGTAGAAAAATATACTTAAATTGATAATAAACGCTTTATAACTTGGCAACGTTGTAATAAAAATGATATGCGGATATGTGGATAAGGTCCTTTTAGAGCGGTGCAACGCGTTGTCATACAGGATGTCGATGCACACAGCATTGCGTGGCGTGAAATTAATTTGCAGCAGCAGCAGCGGTAGCAGCATCGCGATGCGTCGTCTGGCTTTTCAATGGGGCCGCACGGCTCTTGCTTTGATTGTTCCCCCGGCTGAAAGCGAACACGTAGCCAGGTAATTAATTGGAAATATTCGCGGTTATTGATTTAGAAAAATGCATTCGATGACGAAACGGTTTTACCAGCGTCTAAATGAAGTTACGCGTTTTTTTGTCGGTTTTGTTTAATGATTTGTTGGTATATTATTTTTTACCACTTATTACATATAATTACTATATTTTAATGTAAAAAAATAAAGGTTTTATTTAATCCATCAATACTTCCTTAGGTTCTTCGTCAATTTTATTAATTTTGTTTTCCTCCCAACTAATGTTATCAGGGGGTCAGATGAAATTAAAAGTCGATGCATACATGTTTTTCTTAATTTGTTTAAGAAATTTTATTTTTATTTCCTGAAAAAAACCCAAAAATCAAATTTTGTGCTGAAATGTTTGTTTTTTTCAGTTATTTAATAAAATCGTAAACGAAGTTTTAACTTTGACAACCGGAATCTTGGTTATTATCAACTTTTATATACAGGGTATCCGGAAATAACGTTTATATATTTCTGGGGGTGATTCTACACGTAAAAATAAAAGAAATAGTTTCTATAAACAGATGTCCAAAAATGCCTCCTGGGGGCCCTATACACAGTAAATAATATTTGTTAATTTTAACCAAATATTAAACCAGATTTTATGTTAATCCAGGTCCACATAACTTTATGTTAAGTTTACCACACAACCGTAATCTGTTAACTAATTAAATAAGTAATTCAACCATAATTCTAGTAATTTTCAAAAAGCACCTTATTTTTACAAACCTTTTTGTAGACCCAGTTGCAAAAGTATTTGTTGGAAATTGGGGACTTAAATGAAAATAATTTTGATAAGATATTAATTCCTAAACAAAAAAAATAACACATACCGACATAAATAAACACAATAATAACAGATTTCTGGTAAAATATTATAAACACTCTGGACAGTTGTTACGAACACATAAGTTACAGACGCTGAAGTCAGTTGAACTTGATGCGTATTGTCTGTGGGAAATTTTTTGATTGACTGCCTGAAATCACGTGTACTTTTTTAACGAAACATTAACAAAATAATCTGTAAACTTTGAAATTAACAAAATGCTTACAAAATTGCATATTACCTTTACAAAACTTTCGGTAAAATATTTTCCTTTGTTAAAATAATTACCTACAAAAATTTTACAAAATTAAATTAACAAACTACAAACTCATGTTAACAAATCTGATTTTTACAGTAGTGCAGGCATTTCATGGATAATTGATATTTCGATCAATATTTGAAGTATATTTTAAGCTTATCCAAGACGAAGATTGCATCGTGCCGTGTCCGTGGCACAGCAAAAATATCCGTGTTCATCAAATCGTAAAAATCTTTATTATTGTATCGCCTTTACGTCGGCTCGTGTGCCGTTGACGGTTTACATCTGTCTGGGATCGTTTTCGCCAAAGGCATTGCAGCTGTTTTTCTCTCGACGTTCCTGCCGGTGCATTCCAGGAAAATTCGATTCAGCGCATTCGGCCAGGCTGCCGCGCATCCTTTCGGCCGCCCAACGCGTCTTCCTTATCTCGTTTGTTTTTTGAAAAGTGCGCTGGCAAATGCGCTGCAGCGACATTTCCATAGCAATCCGAATTAAATTGCTGTGGGATGTATTTTAATAATAAATTAATTTTTATTTTATATGCTATAAATATTAATTTCTGCGTTTGTGATTTTGTTGAATGGATTGAACCATTTTTTGTATACGTTTTGTATACGTTATAACGTATAGTGTAACCAAAAAGTATTTTATTATTGGGAAACTAAAAAATAAAATATTTCTTGGTTAAATTAAAATTATGTTTTGTCTAAAATATTATCTTAAATAAAATGTTTTCTGGAAATTACATATTAATTCACGTCCACATAACTTTATGTTAATTTATACTTTTAATAACAAAATCCTACATCAATAATTCAACCATAATTCTTGTAATTTTCAAAAAGGACCTTATTTTTACAAACCTTTTTGTAGACGCAGTAACAAAAATATTTGTTGGAAATTGGGAACTTAAATGAAAAGAATTTTGATACGAAATGTTGCTTTATTAATCTATTTTTAACATAAAAATTAACACATACCTACATAAATGAATACAAAAATAACATACCTAAACACAATGAAATAACACACTATTCTGAAATCATCAAATTATAAAGAAATTTGGGACAATATAATTATCAGTACCACTACAACACTGATGTATTTCGTAACTTTAACCCACTTCACTGTATCCCCCAATTTCAGTTTGAAAACCAGTGACAAAAATTTTAAGCTATTATAATGCTCTTAATCTTTATTTTAAGCCATTGCTATTCAATTTTTAAATATTTCCCTTTAAAACCCATTAAAAAACAATTTTTTTTCTTTTCTCCTTCCGCTCGTACAGTAAGAATATTTTTTTCGAATTTTGGTTCTAAAATCTTTATACAGGATAAAATTATCTTCAAAAATGTCTATATTTTGAATATGTTCTTCACAAATTGCCGTTCTACTCGAAAATCTTCTAAAATAGCAGTTAATCGTATTAGGAGACTAAACTATTGATTGTACATAAAAAACGTAAATGAAAATTTTGTAGGGAATTTTGTGCCCCACAGTTTTGTCACAAAATATTTTTCTGTATCACTTAAAGTTTAGCTTAGACAGCCCCTCAAAGTGTCCAATTCTTAAAAATTCAGTTTCTTACTGCTGTAATAACTATACTATTATAGTTACGTGAAAGAGTGGCTGCACAAGCTAAATTATAAGTGATACGGAAAAATATTTCTAAACAAATTTGTATTGCACAAAATTCCCTACAAAATTGTTATTTACGTTTTTTAGTTTAGTCTCCAAATACGATTTACTGCTATTTTAGAAGATTTTCGAGTAAAGAAGATAATTTCATCCCGTATAAAGATTTTAGAACCGAAATTCGAAAAAAATATTCTTACTGTACGAGCGGAAGAAAAAAAGAATAAAACATTGTTTTTAATGGTTTTTAAAAGGAAATATTTAAAAATTTAATAGCAAAGGCTTAAAATAAAGATTAAGAGCATTGTTATAGCTCAACATTTTTGTTTTCTAGCCGGTTACAAAAGTTTTAGGTGCACGGAGAGAAAAGTATAATGCTTTATTATAATACCCTTTACTATAATTTATATTACTATTTGGGACAACTATCTTGTATATTGCCAGATACTATATACTATATTACTAAATATGCATATATGCATATTTAGTAATTTTTAAATTTCCATGTATGTTAAACCTTAAGGTAAAATATTATTATTCTCAACCAATTTTGTTTTTAATTCTTATTATAATTAGATTTTTTCCATTACTAATAATTATAGTAAATTTTAAAATATTATGTTGCCATTTTAAATATAAAATATTTTAAAATCGAATATTTTTATATGGTAACAATTAAAAATTGTAACATATTTATTTTACTTTTTAATATACAAAAATGTTATGAGAAAGAATTGAACCTACACCTCGCCAAAGTTTTTTGTTTTGAGTCCGTTCCATCAACTTCAAATACCAACAGACAGGTGTTTTGACCTATACTGCCCTACTATGGAGAAAGGTAGTAACTGCTAAACAAGAAATTTGTGGAAAATTATTATAAACTACATTTTTATAAAAAGCAGTAGGTATTTAATTGATTTTTTTAACTTATGAGATATTTGACTTAATTTCTGTGTTGAATTCGGTTACAAAATGTCCATAGCTTTACCATATCACAAGAAAATGCATTTTGCATTTTTTTGCAGTTACTGCCTTTCTCCATAGTAGGGCGGTATATTGGGTATCATCAGTGTCGACACGACACTGTCGAGCAACTTGTAGTAGTGGAACACACCCAAAACAAAGAAATACCTGAGCTTATATAACATGGTTGGTAAGAACATCACGTGATCCACACCGTCTAACGACGCGTCGCGACGTGGCCTTTGCCGCAATCGGTACATACTAGGCAACCAAGTAGGTTCAATTCTTTCTTATATTAGTAATGGGTCAAGAAAGTTTATTGAAGAAACTAAGAAAATTTAATGTTTAAAATGTCATGAGTTACTATATTGTATATTATATTTAAATACATTGTTTATTTACCTTAAACATAAAAGTATCTTTATTTTTACTATATTTTTTATTAATGTGTAATATATTATAACATTAGATGTACACCTTACATTTGATTAAATCATATAGTAAATATTACTATTTGTAGATAGTAAAATCAATTTACTATACGAACATATTAAAAATTAAAATATAATATATTATATTATACATTTATGATTTAGTAATATTGGTGTTGTAATCTTTACTAAAATTGTATAATAAAAAATAGTATTTTGTATTACAATCTTAATATTGTATTGACGAATATATAATATTGTTACCCTAAAAATTTGTCAAAGTAAATTTTACTATATTTTTTTTACTATCTAAAATTTACTATACATTTCTCTCCGTGTAGTACATATTTTAATATTAATGTGGTAGTCTCAACTTTCATAACATTGTTGTTGTTTATTACTCGTCGTCGATCATCTGATCGAAACTTTCGGTTGCCGTGCAGGCGGCTGCGGCGGCTGGAGACGGCAACAGCGCCAATGCGTCGCATCGCGCCTTCGATGCCGCTGCTGCTGCTGCTGCTAAATTCGCCCCACCTGGCCGCCGTCTGGTCCGCCGCCGCGGCGAATCCGGGGTCGACGAACCGACGCGTCGCGACGCCCAAATCATCCGTCCCATCCCAAACCGTGATGTGATTGACCTAGCGACGTAGACGACGTCCGTCGTCTCTGTGTGCCGTCGCGGAGGCGGTCGTGGCGGCGACTCTCCGAAGGGGGCCCGCACACACTGTGCAAAAATTTTGTTGCATGATGTGCGTTTTTATCTTTTGATAGGATTAAACCTATTTGCAATACGGGATATTACCAACTTTAATCGAACACCCCTAGAAAATTAAACAGAACATCATGACAACACAAGCAAAGAATTTTTTCAA